GAATAGCATCTTGTTTAATGTCCGCCTCAGGCAGAGGCGTAACTGCTGAGGTCTGACTTTCAGTCCCTGGGAGCTCCATGGTTCTGTTTTTAATCAGCTCTGGCATCGGTCTTCATGTCAAATCTGCTGCTCATATTCATGATCATCATGAGTTTATAGTAGGCATGTACTGAAAAAACTATACTTCCAGTTGGTCTTTATTGTTGATATATGCTAAACAACAATCCAGCTGTTTAAAAGGGACTTTATTGGCTATGGTTGTTCTTTTCTGAATGATAAGAACTGATGGTTTGTTCAAGAGGTGGATGCAATAGAGGTTTATTCTCATCTGTGGTTGCTAAGGAACACCTGAAGCTCATGTCCTCACTCTGCCTCTCAGGGATCGAACAAAGAGAAACAAAACTTTTACTGGAGCTTCAGAGGAAACCAGAAAGTAAATAAAAACATTCATGTTGGACTCCAGTCACATGTTCAGGTTTTGTTGCTGACCAGAATTTGGTCCAGTCCTCTTTTATCCGTGTAGAGGAAGGCTGCTTCTCCCTGGGATCAGTCTAAACGCTTGCATGCGTAACAGAACATGTAGAACTGAGATCAGTCCTAATTCAAAAGGCCCATGGAAACCTCTTAGTTCAGCTTTAAGTCAGTTTGTTTTTGTAAATTTGACAGACTGCCCCTTTATCAATATTCTGACTTTTCCTCTGGCGTTAGTCCTCCCAGCAGCGTGAGCTTAGTGTTGGGGTTTGTGGACGGTCCACATCCTTGCTGATGAGGCAAGGCAAAGCAAAGCTTCATCTGTTCAATAACATGCCAACTGACCTTGGATGCCGTTTTTGTAGAAACTGGGTCTGTCAAGTGGATGTGCGTGTGTTGTGAAATTAACAGGATGAAAATAAATGCAGGAATTAGATTAGTAAAGCTAGTTTAAGGCACACATTGGTGGGCTGCACAGTGGCGCAGTGGTTGGAGCTGTTGCCTTGCAGCAAGAAGGTCCTGGGTTCGCTTCCCGGCCTGGGATCTTTCTGCATGGAGTTTGCTTGTTCTCCCTGTGCATGCGTGGGTTCTCTCCGGGTACTCCGGCTTCCTCCCACAGTCCAAAAACATGACTGTTAGGTTGATTGGTCTGTCTAAATTGTCCCTAGGTGTGAGTGTGTGTGCATGATTGTTTGTCCTGGTTGTCTCTGTGTTTCCCTGCGATGGACTGGCTCTCTGTCCAGGGTGTACCCCGCCTGATTGCCCGTTGACCACTAGAGATGGACACCCGCGACCCTGCATGGACAAGTGGGTTCAGAAAATGGATGGATGGATATTGGCATGGCATTTGTTTTCCTCCATCTAGCTGCAAATGATGGCAGCTGTGTCCTCCACATCAATTAAAGTGTGTGTCACCGTTGTCACATGGTAAACAAAACAGGGCTCTACACCTCCACGGGTCTCTAATGTCTCTACAGACGATCCAGGGCAGAAATAAAAGAATTGGGTTCTGTAACAGTAATGATAAAAATGTATTAAAGGCAGACCTGTGCTCTCAACGTGCTGTTCACTGCCAGAGCTAGGTGCAGATGAGCAGACCTGTGCTGCTCCTTACAGAGCAGAGGCAGTTGCTCGGATACATATTGATCACATAGGCAGAGAGCAGACTCGGGTCTCCTCGGAATGAGACACACCAGCTTTAGAGATACTTCCTGTGTAGGTGAGCTTATTTCATATGAAGATGAAACGCACACACACACACACACACACACACACACACACTTGTGTTTATTTATATGCGTGTGCGGACCTCCATTGAATTCCATTCATTTTAGTAACTCCACTACGCCTCATCCATACCATAACCCTAACCAATGCTGTTCTATTCCTAATTGTAGCCTAAACTAAAAGTTACTTCACACCATACCTCAAAAAACAAGTTAGCATTGTGTTGACCATCAAACTGTCCCTACTAAATGCTAAAAACGCTATTTTCTAGTTATGTGCATTGACATTAATATACTGGACATCTCCTTTCCATAGGCTCCAATATCACGTTTTGGGGCCAAATGGGAGGTGGCCACCACCGCCATTTTGACCGTGTCACAGGTTCCGTCAAGCCCAGACAATTCCACAAAAGGGAAGAGAGGTGGAGCTGAGGGTGGGGTTGTAAGGCTGGGATCAACTGACGGCACCGGTCGAACTAGCTACAAGCTAACCCAAAACTAATGCGGAGGTGGGAGCTAAGCTAACGGAGGTAGCAACCTAGCTACAATCGGAGTTAACTGTGCACAACACCAGAGCTTCTGAGTCAGAGATACGCCGGGCTGACCGCTGGGTAAAACCGGGTGGAACACAGAGGTCTCCGAGACCTCCACAAGCTGGCAGCCACACAGCAGACAAGCGCCGCTGCGCTCTGAGATGTGCAGAGCTGCAGCTGGGGAGAACCGGGTGGAAAGGCTTCCATCCCAGAGCTCCACAAGCCGGCAACCTGCGCAGCAGACAGAAGCCGCGATCAGACAGAGATGCGCCGAGCTGCGGGGAGGGGAGAAACGGGTGGAAAACATCGGTCTCCCGAGAGCTCCACAAGCCGATAGTCGGAACCCAGCTCCACCAACATGTTATATTTCAACCCATTTTCTAAAGTGCAGCATTATGTTAAATGCACTGGGTTTTACCCTATTGCATTTAAATTTCATGGTTAAACAGCATGTTAAAATCTGAGCTCAGCTCGGCAGTGACCTAAAATACATAAATATAATTTTACTTACTGAAAAAAAATGAAGTGGAGACTCCTTGGACGCTCTATTAGTGCAATTAATGCCACAGCAAGTAATGTTGTCCAACAATTGCACAAAAAATATCCAAACAAGAATAAAACACAGAGACTCAAAATGCCGGAGCAGTTTCCAAGCCAGACCGGGGCTCTACAGCGGCCTTTCCACGGAGCTAGCTCTGTGGTCACGTGGGTCGGATGCTCATTTATTATACAGAATTTTAGGCTTTTAATACACTTAAACAGAAGAGTGAGAGAAAAAATGCACCCCCCTCAGAGTTGTCATGAGTGTAAACTAGATCATTTAAACCAAAAACATGTTTTGGAACCAGGCTGTAAACATGCTTATTTCTGCTGTGAAATTGGTATTTTTAACATGGGAGTCAATGAGGATTTGCTCGCTTCTGACACCAGCCCCCAGCGGATGAGGGTGGAACTGCAATTTTTGGTACTTCTGGGTTTGACTCAGTTTTAGAGCCGCATTGTGGGGGCTTGGTTATGTGCCATGGATTTCACATATGATGTCTGTGAATTTTAAAGACACATTTTGATGCCAAGAAAGTGCTTATTTAAGAACGGGCACAAAAGTTATTTTAGGTTGTGTGAAAATGAGTCCAGGACTACAAATGTGCATCACCAAATTGATATTGTCAAACCAGACACAGATAAAAGCAGAGAAAAAAATGGCTGTAAGTTTAGCTTACTGTAATATTTACCTTCCTCTAACTGTGACTGCTCTGCTTCAGAAGCAGACATGAGACACGGCAGCAGTATTGGCTCCAATTATACAGAAGTGAGAGTAAACCACCTCCAGAGGAGTCAGTCACTGTGGTGCCCTTGTTAAAATGCACTAGTGTCGTTAGAGAGTGCAGTTTAGTTTAGAGTAAGATAAAGGGGACAGGTGTGTTCACACACTCATCAGGGGAGGAAAAGAAACCTAATTTTGTCATCACTTTTCTGGACAGAAGTTTAACCTCTTTTTGGTTTGGTTCTTTTCAGCTGATGTCCACGTCTTTGGGGTTTTCCGTTCTGACAAACAAACAATCTGTTGATTGGATTGAAAGTAGGAAGCACAGGGCCAACCTTTGCTCAGTACTGAGAGTGCTGACATTTGGCTGGGGCTTGCATGATCTGCACAAAATAATGACAGTTATTTCAAATGTAACTAAATGTGCTTGACTCGACTAAAGCTATAAACTCTTTAAATGTGTGCTCATTTTGGTTTTAGGTGTAGGCCCAGTTAAACTCAGCAGGGATACGTTTTGAACACTTAAACCTCCACACATTGTAATTATCAGCAAACCAAACAGAAGCTCTTCTCTATTTCTGTCTGACTGTAAGCCTCTAGTTTGTTGTGTCTGTGTTTACCTGTCTGTGTTTTGTTTACAAGATGAAAACTCTAAATATACAGACCAAGGGAACCTAAAAGTGTTTACTTACTTTGACTTTACTTTACAGTTGATCAACCTTTGATTGTTGTACTGTTTAATGTTTCTGGGACTAAATGAAGAACTTGGTTTGGATTAGAGGTTGACTGATATGGTTTTTTCGACTGCTGATACCAATGCTGACGTGCAGACGTCGCTGTCGGCTGATAACTGATATGCGCTGCCGGTTTTTTGGGCCTGCTTTCACGGCTGATATCTACACATTTTCCACCTCGTTTACATGACAAAATGTCACCAATAACAACATTAGATTCACAACATTTGTAAACGGGAATCAGTTTTGTGCACCATAGTAAAATCAAACATTTTCCTAGAGTAAAATTAATAAGCTGACCAAGTATTACATATAAAACAGGTATCGGTAAATAAAAACAAATTTCAGTTGAAACAAATGTTTTTGAGCGTTTATTAAGCAGGTGTTTTCTAGGAATGTAGACGTGCATTTATATAAAATTCATCAGCAGCAGCAGGCTGCCCACGGATGTGCCTGTTCTTAAATCGGCTTTACTAAAGCTGTATATTATCTGATGGTAAATATCAGGCTGATGTGTCGGTCCATTCTTGGTTTAAATCTGTTGGTTCTACCTGTGCTACTACCAGCGCTATGAGCTGGTAAACACCTGGGATGAAACTGTTGGACTAGTTAGAATCAGATGACCTACAGGTGTGACTCTTTTGAGAAGACATGTCTTAAAAACTCAGCAGCATGAGAGTGATTCCTCTCCGCACAAAGATTTTGTCACCAACAGTTTGTGGTTACATGTTTCAGATGACATCCTTAACACTTCCTGTGTTTTTTCCTACAGACGTCAGAGGTGTGTCTGCGCCCAAGCCTCTCAAACCTCAGAGATCTCTCCCAGGAACACCCGTTTCCCTCTCACAGCACCCGGTTGACCTACGAACATCCATGGAGGAAAAATTCAAAGAGATTGCTGAGGTGAGACCTCAGAACAAAAATGGATTATTAACTTACTGAATTAAACAAACAATATCCTAAATAGGATTCATGGCACTGGTCCATCTGAACAGGAAGATTTCTGATTTATGTTCTGAAGGAAATCATGTGCTTACCCGAGTAAATGTGACAGATGGCATTTTGTTTGCTCTTGTGTTTTTCATCCATCACTGAGCTGATTTTGGTTTATGACCTCATAAATCTCCCACCCTATGTTTGAACCAGGACCTGTTCACACGCAGCATGGCAGAGAACGAGATGCGCAGCGCGCCCTACGAGTTCCCGGAGGACAGCCCCATCGAACAGCTGGAGGAACGACGGCACCGCCTGGAGAGGCAGATCAGTCAGGACATTAAGTGAGGAAAAGCAAACAAACACGGCTTACAGAGTGTCACTACTTATACGACCTCAAACAGATCCACAGCTCCCTCTCCTACTCTGCCTTCCTCTCACTTTCACTTATGCACACATGCTTATCAGCTCGTTTGTGGGCAAACTAATCGCAGTCATCAGCTCATTGATGTAGCAGGAGTCTGACACCTGTTCCAGCTGCACATCGTCCACACACACTCTCACCGGGGAGCCATGCTAACTGCAGCCGATCATCGGGTGGTTAAGTCCCTGTTTACTGATGAGGATTTACCATCACTAACTGGTGTTAAACTTCTATGCCTGTACCTGAGGGTGTGTGTGTGTGTGTGTACACGTGTGTGAGAGAGGGGTTTGTTGGGTGTGCTCGTATCTGGTGCCTCTTTCTTTCTGTGCTTAATTTCTCTTCACTACCTCTGGTGCCCATCTACCCCTGCCCTTGCCCACGCTACGCTGCGCCTCTGCAAATCACCCCAAGGCTTGAGCCAGAGATCTTGCTCCGCGCCAAACAGGACTTCATGAAAATCGACAGTGCTGCAGACCTAGAGTGAGTGAGCTCTGCCTCAGAGTGATGGTGTTGTTTGCCCTAATGGTTGTTTTTTTATTTTTTTTTGTTTGTGTTTTGATGCTGTTCTAAGATGAAAACCTCTGTTAGTGTTCATCTTTGTTCTGGTGTGAGTTTCTGGTTCATATCGTTCAGCTTGGTGTCAGGAATGCTCTGTAGATCTCCCGGTGGACAGCTGGGTTCTGAAGGACCACACCGTCCCCCTGCTGGTGATTTAGTTACACAAAGGGGTATCTGTTTTTCTTTTTGTTATCGCAGAAATAAACAAGTCTCTTAGAGTCAGAGTGCTAAGTAGAGCAGGTCCCAATCATTTCTTTTCTTCGTTAAAGTGAAAGCAAAATATAAAAGAATGCATTTAGTTTAGTTTTGCTGCAGCTTCTGTTTTTGTTCCTGAAGCCGTTTAGTCATGTTTAGTAAAGAAAGTTTTTTCCTTTTCGAACAAAAACGAACGTCTGTTTGGGCGTGCAGCAGGGAAGCCACGGACTGGTGAGTGAAGAGCATCTCCTCGCTTGGTGTAACTTTAGAGACCTTCTGTTGACACTTTAGAAACGGGAAGGCGTTGCTATCAGACGTTTAGATGTTCATGAGAAGGTCGGAGGCTCTCCAAACAGAAGATCAGCCCTGATAGATGGTAACAACTAAAACCTTGAAATATCCAGTCCAGCAGGGGAGCTTCAGTTCTGCTTATGACCTGAGCTCTGGTGGTTATATGTGTGTATATAAATGTCAGGTAATTACCACAGCAGCTTCATAGCTGATTTAAGACGTGTCAATAGTGTCGATTCGCCCACAGAGCAGTTGCAGGGTGCGCCCACGTCTCTAGTCAGCATTTGTTTTTAATGCCTCCGTCTGTTTCTTTTCATTAATCTTTTCTTCTGACTGACTTCCTCTTTGATCTAAACTCTCCTCTTTGCATCTGCATCAGGCTGATGATGGACAAAAGCCTGGACGTTGTTGATGTTGGCTTTAAGGAGCGGGAAATACTGGTGGAGAGAGAGTACCAGCGGGTCTCAATATCTGGAGAAGAGAAGTGTGGGGTATGGATTTAAAATAAAAGGTGCTTAAAAGTACTCCACACCAGGAAAACCAGTTCCACTCACACTTATCTGTGTGTTCCAGGTGCCCTTCACTGACCTTGTAGATGCTGCCAAGTGTGTGGTGAAGGCCTTGCTCATCAGAGAGAAGTACATAAACCGCTCCATGCAGACGTTTTGTAAGACCACAGCTCATGCTCTGCAGGATCTGGGGACAAACCCTCTGGATTTGGGGATTTATGATGACGTAGCAGAGACACCTGTAGATGCTGGTAAAACACACACAGCCAGTCAGGAACATGTATGGTTTAAGTCACAAGTGTAACTGCTGTGCTGCTGGGAGAAGTCATGTTTTTTAGTTGTTACAAAGTTCCTTCTCTATGTTGAGGCAGATTCAACCTTTTTCATATCTTTACATCATTTTCTTGAGCCTGTATGTGCTAAAATGACCCTTTATAGAAAAGTCACTCAGACCAGAATACCGCACTTGCAACTTCAAAGTGACGGGCTGCCACCTGTTGGACTTAGAAAAAAATGAGCTAAAATACCTGGCACTGCAGTCTGGTTCCAGCACGTTTCCTTCATGGATCATGGACTAAGGCTGCAGCTATCAGATATTTTAGTATTCGAGTATTCTATCGAATCCTTTGTCGATTAATCGAATATTCTATTTGACAACGTTTCAAGTAAAAGACTGTGGTCTGCTGCTAAAAACATAAAAATTAAAACAACAAAATTATAAAAGGCTCAAAATATGTATTATTATTATTATTATTATTGGTGTTGTCTAGTTCCTGTTTTCCCAGCTGATATTTATAGTTAATAAATATTTTACGGAACAAATTTTGGCTAATCTTTCATTCACATTTTAGGTTTGTATTAATGCCTCTCATCTTGGTCAAAAGAACGTATCTAAATATCTCCGCATATGATCCGTATTATGTAATTATTTCATTAACATGTTCAGCAGTAAGCTACTGGAAATGCTAATAACATTTAATTTCTACTGGTAACAATATAATAGGGGCATTTACAGGTTGGCAACATAATCCAGTCTAAATTGTATTCAAATATAGAAACGTTTGTGAATTACATGCTACAACGGCTTGCCAACTTCCTGCTGCGGTGTGTGAAGCACACTCGTAGGAACAACCCAGACTCCAGGTAGCTGCAGCATCTCTGCCCAGCACTGCTGCAGACATCCACACATAAACGGGATGGTGGGGATGTCTCTTCTTCTTGTAGAGTTTAGTTATTCACAACCATCACGTTTTTTCTGAATGTGATTGTGAGCGTGCTACACGCCAGCTTAGCGTTAGCAATTCTGCTCGTAGTTTCACTCTTGATTCCAAACTTTGGACCATTTCTGTCTTTTACAATGGGTTGTGTCTTTGCTGGTTTTTCTGTTTTCCTCGACAGCACCTAGATAACCATGTAGTGTACCAGTAAAAGGTTCACACTGTGGTGCACACATGAACGAAGCTTCATATCAGTAAAAAATGAATGGAATCATTAGAAGATTTGCTTCAGCCCTATCATGAACACAGCAGATTTTTTTCATTTAGTGATGACCCACTCCTGTAGACACTAATGGAGGGTGTGGAGACATTTCAGCTGTTAGATGAAGGTAAAAAAAGAACAAACGCACAGCGAGGAGATGGGTTTCATTTTCAGTTTAACCGCGGAGAATTAATAATGGACACTAGGGGGTGCTAAAAGCAAGCAAAACTGCCAAGTGTGCCTTGAATTCTAGTTTTGTTTCTTATAAAAATGAGCACAAAAAGACCTAATTTCTCTCTCGATGGTACAATTATCCAAGCTTTCTGTGGTTAGTTTAGGACAATTAGCAGTGTATTTTAAGCCTTTCATTTATTTTATTTCTGAAAAGTTGTCATTTAAAATGGGGTTTTGATGAACATTAACCTAGATCTAATGATCTATTTAAATAAAAACATTCTTGGCAACAGAACTTAATCACTGGCCAATTCATTTATTTTTCCAGATGCTCCTGTTCACCCTCCAGTTTCAGAGACGCACCCTTATGACAACCAGGACCCCAGCAACATGCCAGCAGATGCAGGATACGGATGCTTGATGGTGGGCGGAGTCATGCACGTCTACAACAAGAGAACCAACATGGATAAGTAAGTGTTTGACAGCGATGCTCCAAAACATGACTGCTTTGATCCACAGCAGACGGATTTTCATTTTTCAGGAGCACAGAGCTCGACCTGCCCTATCCTGACCTGAAAGAGTACATCGCAGACATGAACGTCATGATGTCCCTCATCATTAACGGACCAGTGTGAGTGTAACTTTGATACAACCAGATGCTTTTAGTTTCCTCTAAGTTAAACCGCTCTCTGCTTTTGTAGGAAGTCTTTCTGCTACCGCCGCCTGCAGTACCTGAGCTCTAAGTTTCAGATGCACATCCTCCTGAATGAGATGAAGGAGCTGGCAGCTCAGAAGAAGGTTCCTCACAGAGACTTCTACAACATACGGAAGGCAAGAACCAACAGCTGCTGGAAGTCTGTGTGAAGATTTTCACATCCCGAAGTGTGTTTGTCATCATTGTTCGTTTCTACCTCGACTCCAGGTGGACACTCACATACATGCGTCATCCTGCATGAACCAGAAGCACCTGCTGCGATTCATCAAGAGAGCCATGAAGAAATACCCCGACGAGATCGTTCACGTGGAGCAGGGGCGTGGTCAGACGCTGAGAGAGGTTTTTGAGGACATGAACCTGACGGCGTATGACCTGAGCGTAGACACGCTCGACATGCACGCGGTGAGAAACGCGGGACAAGTTATGTTAAAATCCATCATCTGTGTTACTCGTTTGGTGGAGATGAAAATAGTATTTGTCTTTTAGGACCGAAACACTTTTCATCGGTTTGACAAGTTTAACTCCAAGTACAACCCCATTGGAGAATCCATCCTCAGGGAGATCTTCATCAAGACGGACAACTATATTGAAGGGAAATACTTTGCACATATAGTTAAGGTGGGGATCCTTAAATAAAGAGTCCATCTCACCTAAAATACCCTCACGTCTAAACTTTTACATCCATGCCGGTCTTTGTTCAAACAGGAGGTGATGTCTGACTTGGAGGAGAGCAAGTACCAAAACTCTGAGTTACGGCTGTCCATCTATGGTCGCTCCAGAGATGAATGGGACAAGCTGGCCCAGTGGGCCGTCAACCACAGAGTGTACTCCGATAACGTGCGCTGGCTCATCCAGGTGCCACGTCTGTTGTGAGTTCATCCACAATCCTGATTGGTCTCCGACTAGCCCTCATTGGCCAGTTTAGTTGTAGCCTTTCTCTAACAATGTTATTCTCAAATGAAGAAATACATACAGGAAAAAAGCCAATTTTGCATCTGAAACCATATTAAGCCGTTTCACTCAGTCCACCAGAATTAAACGCTGCTGCTGTAGAACCTTTTGACAAAAGTTTATATATATATATTTTTTTTTCAATTATGTCTACAAAGGAGGATCAGGACCACTGGAAAAAAAATAATTGTTAATTCTGAGAATAAAAGTCATGAATCAAAAATTTCAATTGGGATTCTAACTTTTAACAGAAATTCCTCACCCATAAATTTCTAATGTCAGAGATTTGTTTGCATTTTTGAAAAACTACCATTTTCTATAGTTGGGTTTTAAAATGTAGAAAAATAAACATTTGCAAAAGGAGCGTGAATATTTATATCTCCTGGATGTTGATATTTGCTGGAAATTACTTAGAGGTCTGTCACTGAACAACCACATTTTAATGATCATTTCTGATAATAATCAGAATCATTCATGCAGGCTGAACATGAAAATAGTCTCCTACACCTATCTCCTGCATTAGCTTCTGATAGACTGAAACTCAAGGATTTGAAAAGCCTGACAGATATACGCCACACTCATCTTGACTCCTGTCAGGGAAGGCTGTTGTTGGTTAAGAGGCCAGGAAACAGCCGAAAGCGTCTTGGCTAGTAGAAGCTAACTGTTAGCATTAGCAACTCTGCCACACAGCAGAACTCCTTCAGGCTTGTGTTATTTGTGGAGATAAAGCATCAATGTCGCAAAGCAAACGGGAGTCAGTGGTAGAGACGCGTTGCTGTTAGCCAATCAGAGGTGAGATGTCCATACATCAGGAAATAAGACTTCAATCCTGTCGGCCGAAGCTACTTTCTCCTCTGGCTGAGTTCTCTGTGCTGAGACAGGTGCACCGGAGCTTTTTTCACCAGAGTACGACTTACAATGCATCCATTCCTACTAGGGACCACTGCACATGGATTAAAAGTATGAGTGAAGGACCTCTCTAAAAAACAAACCGATGAAAAACGTTACTGGTGCTTTTATTGTTGTCCTGTTGAGGAAAGGCATTGCAGTTATTCCATGAAAACGCTGAGAAGCTGATTCAACTTGCACTTTTTATTATATTTACACTTAAAAGCACAAGTTAGTTTTTTCTTTCTAACTTCATTTTAAGCCGAATTTATTAGGAGCCATTGTGGATGAACCAAAGAGTAACTTGTGGCTCCAGAACCGTGTGTTTCACACCCCTGGTTTAGCCAGATTTTAGATCAGTTTAGACAGTCTTTCAACTCAAAACGTGTATCTGGACCGGTGGACAAAATTCTCTCTGCACATGTCAAAGGTTGGCTTAAAGCACAAAATAAAAATTACTCGTTTTTCTTTTTCAAGTTGAAATATCAGCAGTTTTTTTCTTCCACTCATTCATGTTCACACCCTCTTCCAGTGACGTGTACCACACCAAGAAGCAGCTAGCTAACTACCAGGAGATGCTGGAGAACATCTTCATGCCTCTGTTTGAGGTCACCATCAACCCCTCCAGCCACCCTGAGCTGCATCTCTTCCTGGATCATGTGAGTGGGCCACCTGACCTCACAAGACATCCAGATTATTGATCAGCCGCCGCCGACTCTGAAGTCTGTTCCCTCACAGGTGGTGGGCTTTGACAGCGTCGACGACGAGTCCAAACCTGAACACCACATTTTCAATCTGGACAGTCCCCTGCCAGCAAACTGGACAGAAGAGGACAACCCGCCCTACTCCTACTACCTCTACTACACCTACGCCAACATGACTGTGCTCAATCACTTGCGAAGGTAAACAGGAAACTGCAGCTCTTCCTTGTTCTTGACAAACATGTCTGTCTTCTCCTCTGTCTGATTTACTGTGTTTACCTCAGGCGACGGGGCTTCCACACGTTTGTGCTGCGACCTCACTGCGGCGAAGCTGGGCCGATCCACCACCTGGTGTCAGGTTTCATGCTGTCAGAGAACATCTCCCATGGGCTGCTGCTCAGGAAGGTCAGAACACCACAGGGCACATTGCTTACAAAATACACATTGGGGAAAAACTAGGCTCTTCCTAAGTTTTCCATGGAAACAATGGATTTGGATCAGTGGGAATGCATGCAAATGATAAGCAGGGAATCTGGCTACAGGTCTCCCAAAGTGTGCAGTAGAGTTCTGTAAATACAGGTCCTTCTAAAAAAAATTAGCATCTTGTGATAAAGTTCATTATTGTCTGTAATGTACTGATAAACATTAGACTTTCATGTATATTAGATTCATTACACACAACTGACGTAGTTCAAGCCTTTTATTGTTTCTAATATTGATGATTTTGGCATACAGCTCATGAAAACCCAAAATTCCTATCTCAACTAATTAGCATATTTCATCCGACCAATAAAAGAAAAGTGTTTTTAATACAAAAAAAGTCAACCTTCAAATAATTATGTTCAGTTATGCACTCAATAGTTGGTCGGGAATCATTTTGCTGAAATGACTGCTTCAATGCAGCGTGGCATGGAGGCAATCAGCCTGTGGCACTGCTGAGGTGTTATGGAGGCCCAGGATGCTTCGATAGCGGCCTTAAGCTAATCCAGAGTGTTGGGTCTTGCGTCTCTCAGCTTTCTCTTCACAATATACCACAGATTCTCTACGGGGTTCAGGTCAGGAGAGTTGGCAGGCCATTTGAGCACAGTAATACCATGGTCAGTAAACCATTTACCAGTGGTTTGGGCACTGTGAGCAGGTGCCAGGTCGTCGTGAAAAATGTAATCTTCATCTCCATAAAGCTTTTCAGCGGATGGAAGCATGAAGTGCTCCAAAATCTCCTGATAGCTAGCTGCATTGACCCTGCCCTTGATAAAACACAGCGGACCAACACCAGCAGCTGACATGGCACCCCAGACCATCACTGACTGTGGGTACTTGACACTGGACTTCAGGCATTTTGGCATTTCCCTCTACCCAGTCTTCCTCCAGACTCTGGCACCTTGATTTCCGAATGACATGCAAAATTTGCTTTCATCCGAAAAAAGTACTTTGGACCACTGAGCAACAGTCCAGTGCTGCTTCTCTGTAGCCCAGGTCAGGCGCTTCTGCCGCTGTTTCTGGTTCAAAAGTGGCTTGACCTGGGGAATGCGGCACCTATGCCCCATTTCCTGCACACGCCTGTACACGGTGGCTCTGGATGTTTCTACTCCAGACTCAGTCCACTGCTTCCGCAGGTCCCCCAAGGTCTGGAATCGGTCCTTCTCCACAATCTTCCTCAGGGTCCGGTCACCTCTTCTCGTTGTGCAGCGTTTTCTGCCACACTTTTCCCTTCCCACAGACCTCCCACTGAGGTGCCTTGATACAGCACTCTGGGAACAGCCTATTCGTTCAGAAATTTCTTTCTGTGTCTTACCCTCTTGCTTGAGGGTGTCAATGATGGCCTTCTGGACAGCAGTCAGGTCGGCAGTCTTACCCATGATTGCGGTTTTGAGTAATGAACCAGGCTAGGAGTTTTTAAAAGCCTCAGGAATCTTTTGCAGGTGTTTAGAGTTAATTAGTTGATTCAGATGATTAGGTTAATAGCTCGTTTAGAGAACCTTTTCATGATATGCTAATTTTTTGAGATTGGAATTTTGGGTTTTCATGAGCTGTATGCCAAAATCATCAATATTAGAAACAATAAAAGGCTTCAACTACTTCAGTTGTGTGTAATGAATCTAATATATATGAAAGTCTAATGTTTATCAGTACATTACAGACAATAATGAACTTTATCACAATATGCTAATTTTTTTAGAAGGACTGGTATTCACAGTTGGAGATTTTTGGAGAGAGTAATGTCCTGGGGAGATGAAGGAAATGCACCAAGAAAAGTGTCTGGTGATTGTTTCCTTTAATCAGTTGTAAACAGAAAAATGTGACTATTAAAATGATTTATTATTTTGCAGAATTAAAGATTTATTATCTTAATGAATCAGGTTTGTCCATAATCGGTCCAAGAACAAGAATTGTAAATCGGTATTGGCCCTCCAAACCAGAGCTGGTGCATTTTAAATAAATGTAGAACAACCTTTAGCTCTGGTGGTCTGAGTCAGCAGTGGCCCAGAGTCCCATCGCAGCTGGTGCTGTTCACATACGGACCCTACAGCCGATCCTGTCTACTCTTACCTCAGACTCAGAAACCTTTTGTTTAAACCAGCAGATTCAGCATGATTCAGACCTCACAAAGGTTGTTGCAGCAGTAGTTTGTTTACTAAATTTAAAGTCATGATCTTAAAATATCACTGAAAGGTCCAAACTGATGTTTGAACGTATACATAAAGTTACTGTGGCTGTGTCCAAGTCAGGGGCAGCGTCCTTGTGAGGACCTGTCCCACCCGGTCCACTCGGGTCTTCCATCGACCTTCTACAACAGGAAGTGAGCGGCTGTGAATATTGACAGTCTAGCTTTCAAATTTATTCTCCCTATTGCCCCAGCATTTGTCGTGTCGCCTAGCAACGTGACTACACTAAGTAGAAGTTAAGACTTCTGGGATGGCCGACGAAGATTTTCATTTGTTTTTACCAAAAAATACATTTAGAGAGCAAGTATGAGAAAGGCTTAAGAACCCAACCTCTCCAAACTTAAAAATGTTGCACCAACTGAGTAATATTATACCAACATTTATAACTGTAATCCTCTCCTGCGTCTTCTGCTGCCATTGTTACAAGCAGGGATGTGTATTTTTGAAATTCTGGCGATACGATACATATCACGATACAGGGGAGACAATACAATGTATCACGATATATTGTGATACATTCAGTCCGACGTCACAAGCAATTTTTTTTACTGGATTTATTGTAAGAATGTTCAAGAAACAGTCCAAACTGATACGTAACATGTTTAACATGAGGTATCAGAACCATGATGGAGGGTTTTACATTTCAATGGTGGAAACAAAACCCATTGCACACTGCTGCCAACTAGCGGGTGGCGATTGAATTGCACAAAACGAAAAGAAAATACACAAAAATTTGCATGTAAATTCTTTCAAGAATTAGATACACGGTTTTTGAATATCGATGTAATAATCGCAGGAAAAAAATCACAATATATTGCCATATCAATATTTCCGATACACAGCTTTTGAATATCGATATAATATTGCTGGGAAAAATATCACGATATATAGCCATATCGATATTTTCTTACATCCCTAGTTACAAGAACAAAAATCTCCCGTTCCACCAGCTATGAATCCTGGGATAGCCTTGTGCCAATAAGGACACTCCAGACCCCTGCATGAAATCCAGGGAAAGTATTAGGACTCTTTTGAGGACGCATTTTGAGTATCCTTTGATTTTGAACAGCCTTGTTGCTTTGCTGTGATGTCATCAACCTTAAAATGCAGCCTTGGAGGGATGTAGCCCCAGAATTCAGACTCATTCCATTTCTTAGAGCAGAAACAAAACCTTCTTCTCCCCCTGACAGAAGTTCAGATGCTCCTGCTGTAGCTGAACTCACAGCTGTCTCTGTCTCCTCGTCTCAGGCCCCTGTTCTTCAGTACCTGTACTACCTGGCCCAGGTGGGCATCGCCATGTCCCCGCTGAGCAACAACAGTCTGTTCCTCAGTTACCACCGCAACCCGCTGATGGAGTATCTGTCCAGGGGACTCATGATCTCGCTGTCCACTGATGATCCCCTTCAGTTCCACTTCACTAAGGTCAGAACCAGTTTATATCAGCTGTGAAGATTTAAAACGTTCCAACATATCTGTGTTGTCCTTCCTACCAGGAGCCGCTGATGGAGGAGTACAGCATCGCAGCTCAGGTGTGGAAACTCAGCTCGTGTGACATGTGTGAGTTGGCCAGAAACAGCGTCCTCATGAGTGGATTTTCACACAAGGTAAGCTAGCCGACACGTCTTCATGTATCGAGCATCAGCTGGAGGTTCAGTCGTATGATCCGTCCCAGTACAGCCAGTCTCATGAAGCTTTTTAACCTCCAGGCTAAAAGCTACTGGCTCGGTCCCAGTTACTACAGAGAGGGTCCTGAGAGCAACGACATCCGCCGCACCAACGTCCCTGATATTCGTGTGGCGTACCGCTTTGAGACCCTCACTGAGGAGCTTCACCTCATCACCCACGCCGTGCGCACGGAGGAGCTGGAGGAAGGGGACTCTCTGACCATGGGTCCCCTCCCTGGACAGCGCTGAATTCCTCCTGTGGACTGGACTCTGTGGGCCGCTCAGCACCACGCTGAGCACACGTGATCCCGGCCTTTGGCCTCTGAAACCCCCACCAAGCATCAGTTTAGAAGTTTGCTGCACTTTCTATTATTCAGCTACCAAAAAGCCAAGTTACACCACATGACCTTTCATTTCCTTTGTGCTGAAACAAAAGCAGAAAAATGGCTGTTTTCTCCTTTTTGTTTCAACATTTAATGTTATTTTCTGTAGTTTTTATCACATGTTGAGTCTGAATCAGCTTCAGGTTGTTTTTATGGTTTAGCAGCAGAGAAATGGGCAGGTTTCACTGAGATCCTGTGTGTTTACGCTGATTAATTACACTAGAATACACTGTCTTGTTATCATAGTAGCACATTGGGATCAATGTTTGCACAGCAGCAAAGTTTCTGAAGGTTTTGTACTAAATCAGCCAGGTGTGATGCTTGGTGTGGTCTGAGATCATAATTTGCTAAATTGCACATTCAGACGTGTTCTCCTGTGATTCTAACCAGACACAAACTCCACAACCTTCAAGTTTTAAATGTTTATTATTATTATTATTATGGTTTTCTGAAACATTCCTCAAAGCAAACCAGTTCTTTAGCTGCAAAGGAAATAATTCCCTGGGATTTAAGAGAAATGTCGAGCACAAATAAATGTGTTTGCGTCGCCGTGGCTGTCTAGCAACACCTGCATGACTGGTTTCTGTTTCTGTGAACAAAGTCAAAAATAGCCACAGGAGTGCTTGCATGCACTAAACTGTCTATAAGCACCAAGCTAGATCTTCACAGTGCCTTTTCATTTCTACCAGAGTGCTGCACGCCCCTCAACTTGTCGGTAAACTCCCACGGCTAGCTGACGGACCCAGAGCGCCGTTTAAAGTAGCTTTCACCCTCTGATCTGTTTGAGGGTTTCTGCATGATCTGCATGACTCATGGGTGCTAGGATGTTGTTTACACAAAGCTGTAATGTAAAGCATCTTAGTTGGTGCAGGTCTGAAATCAGTTCTTAGTCCTGAATCGTTTTTATGCAACAAAATAAACAGATTTGAATTCAGCTGGCCGTGGTTCCGTGATGTTTCTGTGGACCTCCTTCAGACCTGATTGAAGCTGCGCCTCGAGCATTTACCACCCTCACGTCATCACTCAGCACATCCTCCCGTCAGCTTCCAGCCGAGGATTTTAGTCACTGAATTGTATTTGGGAAGACCAGCTGTAAGTTGTTAAAGTGTGTCAGTGTTTGCTTTAGAGGATAAAAGTCAGACTTGTCGCTTTCTAGAGTCCTGCATCAAACTCTGAGAAACCTACGTGATTGTTGGATTTAATCTGAGTAGAGGTGAGAAGTTTTCCATTTTCAGTATAATGATGTTAAGGATGCTAACGCTTGTTGTGGATGAGCAGAGTGTTATGAAATAGTTTTATAATCTAGTTTAACATAGATGGTCTTAATCTCTGCCTGCTCTGCCTGTTTATTACTAATATTATTATTATCGTAGTCATTTCCTTCTTGAACTCTGTGTTTTTTTGACTACTCTGATGCAAACAGACATCCACGAAGCCTCTTTGTTTAGAAGTCACTGACTCGTGGAAGACGACTCTTATTCGGGTTAAAGAGTTAACACGTGAACGTTTTGTCTTTTACATCCACCACTCAGAGCGTCCTACCTCATAAACACTCTCATACTTGTTGGTTCTTTTGGTTTTCCTCAGAATCGTCAGTATTTCATTCACAGCAACAGATTTATGACGTTATTTACCGACTTGTTTAGAACGTGTTGAGAAAAAAATTATTTTCCCATTAAAAACATTTCTATTGTTTTTAGTTGTGAAAATGGAGCAAAGCAAACATTATTCAGTTATTTTTTCAACACATTTACAGTAAACCGCGCATAAATGTATATCTGATTTCAGCTTTAAATGTAAAACATGTTTAGTTTTGATGATTTTCTTTCCTCTGTGTTTTATTTTTTAACATGAAGGTTTTATTTTGAGGCGGACGCTTGATAATCTGCAGCCTTGCTGTTGCTTGACCTCCAGCCTTTTACAGACTCTGATCACGTTTGTGTGTAGTGCCAGAATAAAAGAATAAAGCGTGTTCATCCACCCAACTTGTGCCAGAAATGACTTTTATTTACACAGTGATTACAGAGGCGTCCAACATGTGACTGGGTGACACAACTGACACTTTTCTTTGGTGCAATAAACCTGTTTTGATTTAGAAAAAAGTGACTTTGCAGTTTGTAAACTTGTTTATTCTCCGTGTGAATCATCCCGTTTCTGCTCCAGTCTCCTCGTCTCTTAACTGAGGTCCTGAGTGTTGGAACAAAGGTGTGATGAGTGTTTACAGCAGCTGCAGGCTGATGCTGGACGCTGCTCTGTGACTTACCGCCATGGCCGACTTGACTGCCTGTAACTGGAAGAAGACTCGTCCTCCTTCCTCTGGACACAGCGTCTTCAGCTCCTCTCTGCTCATCCCCAGCAGAATCGGGCCACTGAGCACGCCAAGACAGCGCACAGTGCTGCAGGGGGACACGCTGGGTCAGGTGAGTTCACGTGTAACGCCATCAGACTGGGCCGTGAGCTGCTGGACCCAGTCTGACCATAAACACTAAACTTAATCAGCTGCTGCAGCTGTGAAACTGGGACCAGTTAGTAAAATGAAACCAGTTATTCTTGTTTTTCTGTAAGTTTGTTTTGCAAATGATCACTTAAAGCAAAATAAAATGGTCAACAGAGAAAGAAAGCCTTTATTTCTAAACATAACTGATGTCTGTTTATTAGTCTGTTATAAACAGTGATGACATCATAACTTTTGATCAGAGAATTTTGAGTTTTCATTTAAATACTTAATAAAATAAATAAACCATACATGCAGCTCTTGTTCAGCTGTTTTTCTTATCATTATTATTGTTATTAAACTTTAAAGTCATTATTTAATTGGAACATTTTCTCTTATCAATTTCGAGGCTATTATTTGCGACACGACTGCACTAGAAACCCTTGCAGTGAAAGGTTTGTGACCAAACATCCTTTATTTTATCGGTGTTGTTGAAATTAAACTGATTAAAAGAATCTGACAGATAAAAACTTAAAAGTCTCACTCACATTTGGTTGAAGCCCTTGTCCTCCAGCCAGGCTTTCACCTCCGGTGGTTTAGATCTCTTCGTGAGGACAGGGAAAGTTTCCATTTGCTGAGGAAATAAAAACATTGATTTTCCCTTCAGCTTGAAATGTCAGGTCTTTGGGTTTCTGCTTGTGTGTGCTGGAGCACCTGGTTGGAGTCCTCATCAGCAGCCTCCAGGACCTGGTTGGGGACGTATCCTTCCTCTCCTCTGCTGTTCCTCACTTTCCACCACTGCCTGGACTTGTCCAACAGCTGCAGACAAACCAACGCTTGTGAGGCTCACTGGACTTTTCATTAAAATGTTAAAAACAAACCTAAACAGCTGATCACCTCAACCACTTCTCCTCTCCTGACAGTGAGCTCTCTGTGGTTTCGTGAAATGAAGTCATGCTTCACTCTCATGTCACTTAGTTTTAACTGGTTTGGGCTGAAAAACACACAAAGATCACAAATCTGGAGCTCCTTCAGGTCAGACCAGAGCAAAATTGGTGTGTTTGTGTGTACCGTTCATTCTGTGGAGGTGGTGGAGGCTTCTGCTGAGCACGAAACTGCAGAGAAAGAAAAGAGTCACTTTTTATTTTTCTGGCCTAGAATTAAAGTGGCAGTAGAACGCTGTTTAATTACAAATGGAAACATAGCTTTGAGTCTGTATATAACTTGTGAAACTTTGTTGGGGCTCACAATGACCCAGAAGCCCTGTACTGACCAAACTCAAACCCATTAGCCCTCCATGGCCCAATCCCAATAACCGCACTGCGCTCTATTCAATTCAATTCAATCCAATTTTATTTATATAGCGCCAAATCACGACAAGAGTCATCTCAAGGCACTTCACATAGTAAACATTCCAATTCAGGTCAGTTCATAAAGCCAGTCAGAAAAAAAGTTTCCTATATAAGGAACCCAGCAAATTGCATCAAGACACTGACTAGTGTCAGTGACTTTACAGCAATCCTCATACTAAGCAAGCATATAGCGACAGTGGAGAGGAAAACTCCCTTTTAACAGGAAGAAACCTCCAGAGGATCCTGGCTCAGTACAAGCAGCCATCCTCCACGACTCACTGGGGATCGAGAAGACAGAGCAGACACACACACACACACACACACACACACACACACACACACACACACACACACACACACACACACACACACACACACACACACACACACACACACACACACACACACACACACACACACACACACACACACACACACACACACACACACACACACACACACACACACACACACACACACACACACACACACACACCAAGCAATGTTTCTATGGTTACATTGTGATTTCTTAGTAAATATTCTATTTGGCGAGAGATAAACTTTATTGTATTTATCCTAGTGGATCTATAATTAAACGGATAAACTAGCAGTAGCACATCCAACATCAAGGAAAGCAAAAAGTTATTATCAGGAGAGGGAGAATGTTTAAGTGGTTAGCAGCAGTGTGCTAGTCGATGGCCCCCTCCATGAGGCCACCACAGCTCAGCAGAACATGATCTACGGTCTTCTGTCAAGTGCACTTGAAAGAAGTGCACATTAAGGCTTCGAGTGCGTGTTACACAAGTGTGCAAATAATTGCCGAATTGGGACAGTGAGCGTAGCGTCATCAATCGCAATGCATGTCAGGATTCTGGTCGCTGTGCTACTTAAAGAAAAAAAACTTTAACAACTTTCAAACAAACAGTTACTTGAAATACATTAATTGCTGCTTTGTCTAAAACAGGGATTCCCTAAGTGTGGTGCAGGGGTGCGCGAGCTGCCGCTGGGGGGTGCGCGAGCTGCCGCTAGGGGGTGCGCGAGGTGAAAAGTGTAATGGCTGTGGAGCTCAGAGAAGTCTGTCATATGTCACCATTAGCGTAGCCAGACACTCGTTTGTGGGTGGGCCTAAGAAAAAATTAGTGGGCCCAATAAATGTAATTGAAAACAAGTATATTTTGCGTGTGTGTGTGTGTGTCCTCCGCATGTGCCCTAGCTTCATAATAACAATGCGCCGAGCTTCAGCACTCTGGCCTGCGCACACCGATATGTTCCGTATTTGATCATTTTTAACGGTGTTGGAGGAATCTGAAGGTGGTGAGTCATTCTGGCAGATTGTTATTAACACCCTGTCTCATGCAGGTGTTCTGACATTGTAAACCTCACACACAGAACATTGTGGATGTAACTAAATAAATCAAGAAATGATTCCCATTCAGGCTATTAACAGCCCGCTGAAGATCTGAAGTTCAGAGTGCGTCTGTCAGAGGTCCAGAGGTTCCAGCGGAACCACGGCTCACGGGTGCATAAGTGAGCACATCTGGGCTGGGCAGAAGTAATTTTACAACACTGGTTTAAATAGCGCCAATAACGAGACGCGGCGACTTGAGCGGCTCATGGAGCTGTGCCGCACACACACACACACACACACACACACACACACACACACACACACACACGCGCGCAAACTCCGGCGCGCCGTCAGACTGAAGACAGAAATGAGCGCTGCCTCCTCTGTGATAAAAACTTTTTAGAGGTTTTATAACAACATTTTTCATTCCAGGTATTTTGGGATGACGTATTAAAGTCGGGTCCGCTCCAGCCAGTGACTCCTCATGAACCTGACCACATCTCATGTTACTGCAGCATTTGTTGTTCCAGTCCGCGTGGCAGCGGATCGCAGATTCAGCCACACCATAAAACAGCAATAAGTCGGTCTGAGGCAAAAGTGAACCTCATGGCTAAAGCTTTTCCATCTTTTCCCCTATAGACATTTGATTACGCACAAGTAGGTGATCAGCTCAGGTTTACGCAGAACAGAAGAAAGGAGAGCACTCTGGCCGCACAGGTTAACTGGAAAACTGTTAAATTGCATTGTTTATGTGTTACCTGGGCACTCTAAATATTTATTTAAAATTAAATCAAAGGAAATTGTAATGGTATCGAATGTTTATTAATTACCATTAAAAAATGAAAGTGACGGGGAAAAAGGTCGATCATATTTTTTTTAAACCTGTCTGTTTAGCTTGACGTCTGATTTTATATATATATATATATATATATATATATATATATATATATATATATATATATATATATATATATATATACATATATCCATGCCCTGATGTGGGGGCTTGGGGGTGCGTCGACATGGTCGGGACATAGAAGGGGGTGCGCGGCTAAATAAGTTTGGGAACCACTGGTCTAAAACATTCAGAGCATCAATTAATCATCCTAAAATGAACTACTTTCATTAGAAACTACATATTTTCAGAAAAGGCACTTGAATTGTTTCTTTCGCAGCAATGGATTGTGGGTAATACCCTTCACCCAAATTCACATTGATGTGGACTTGCTGTTCGATGGCCCCACAACACTACCTGAGACTGTGTGTGTGTGTTGGGTGTTTTTTTGGGGGGGGGGGGGGTTCCAGAACATCCTGGAATGCGAGTGCTTCAACAACCTTCCTTTTCTCACTTCCACAAGGACGTTAGCAGTAGCTCAGCAGAACACCAGCAGTTCAGGCTGGCGCTGGCAGTAGCTCGACCCATAGCGTTGTTCTGCCGTTAGCATTACCGAGGACAGTGTTTATTAATTCCAGACACTGAAGTGGGTTGGAACATGCAGATGTAAGCAGGCATAGCTTGCTTATTAAGTAATAAACCAGCTTTTCTCAGACTGCTCCGTCACCTTTTCAAGAAAACTAATTTGCATAGAGAGCAGCTCTGACGTTTTGGTTTGCTACGTTGAACCACCCAAGCTGCCTTCATTCAGCTGCAATATCAATGTGGCTTTACATTCTACTGCTCCTTTAATGAGATCTAATCATAATTAGAGATTAACCTGACCTGTCCATTTGGGCTCAGCGCTGCAGCGGGTGGAGGTCTGGTGAACTCTGCTGGGGGTGGAGGTCTGGTGAACTCTGCTGGGGGTGGAGGTCTGGTGAACTCTGCTGGGGGTGGAGGTTTGGTGAACTCTGCTGGGGGTGGAGGTCTGGGGCTCGGAGCAGGGCGTGGACCCTCCCGTCTACTCGCTGGTTGTCTCGGTGGAGGTGCAGCTCTTACTTCAGGAGGCTGCCAGCCATCGGAGAACATCAGGGTGTACGTTGGGATGTCCTCATCATCCTCTGGCCATTTAGTACTAGTTACATCACCACATTAAAATATGACAATCATATCATAAGTATCTGAAACCATCTGAATTAAAGTATAAGAGGCATTTTCATACCTGGGGATGTTCCAGGGATCACCCAGAGACTGCCACAGCTGATCCTCATCAGGGGAAGCCTCCTCACTCAGAAAACGGATACACTGAGGAGTCAGCAGTGGAGCGATGATGGTCGAAGCCAGCTCCTCAGAGCAGTGGGAGACCACCTGATGTAGGATGACCTATCTGTTAGGGGTGTTGTGATGCACCTATGTAACTCTGCTGAAGCAGGAGGAAACTCATAGCCTCCTAACTCTATTCATGCGTCCCAGACTGATAATAAACCAGTTAATTATCATCTTTAGGCAAACTAAAATATTGATTATTAAAGCTTTAGACTGGCTGTAAAAGGAAGGCAGTTACTCACAAAGTTTAAAGAGCTGAACAAAGAGTGGACCAACACCGGAGCGCTGGGATCATTGATCTTTCCGTTGAGCTCAGCCTGTGGATAGACGCACATCCGGAGTGTGAACAGAAAGCACACAGAGGGAAAACGGCTGCGTGGAAATAAAGCCACAAACCAGAAGGTTGAAGCCAGACTTGATTTTATGAAGAGATTCTGCAAATTCTTCATTAGGAGGCATCCCGTCCACTCCTGTATGCATAGTAAACATGGACATCGGTGTTTGGTAACACGCGTGTTGTTCCAAAATGCTTTTGTAAAATTGACCTTTATTCTTTTTCTTCTTCTTCTTCTTCCCGTTTTTAGCAATGATTGCTGCAACTTTTTCCATGAAGATTTCCACATCGTTTACAATATGATTCAAAATGTCCTGCAAGAAAAGAAATAACCAGTTGTAGCAATGCCCCTCTATTTGTAGATGATCATAAAAATGAAAAATGTTTTCAACTGAGCCATGCTCACCACGTTCCTGTCCAGCTCTGTGTATGCACGAGGAGGAGGGGGCAGCGGCGACGGCTCTTTCTTCCTGTGAGACGATGCTTCCTTCTCCTCCTCATCCTCGTCCTGACGCAGATCCAGCTCAGGCTCAGGAGACTCACTCTGTCCTGCACATTTAAACCAAACATGAAACAAATAAATAAATCCACTAAATTTGACTGACACCTGAATGTGTCTGGAGATTTCATGGTTCTGACTCTGAAGCACGGAGGTGGCAGTATCAAGTAAATCCAGAAGTTTCCAGAACAACTGACTTGTATGAGTAGGTTTATCTCTTTCAGTCAGCCTGTAATTTATTCCGCTTGACCTAAATAGCTCTAATCTCTGAATTATTTGATATAAAATTGTTTTTTCGTGTGTAAATTTCACCATTTTGTGTCCGCCGCGGAGCCAGACAAGCTGCAGGTTTCTGATTGGCTTCTTTCACTCCCTCATGTCCTCCTGTAACTGATGTTTTGCCCCTTCAGAAAGTTTTTAAAAAGTTGTTTAATTACTGTAAATAATCCACGAGTTCTGAGTTATTCCTGCTTTTACTTTACCTGAGGTGTGAAGCTTCTCGTCCCTCTGACATCGCACGTGTTAAATCCCTCTGAACAAAATCAGCCTGGAAACAGCAGCGTCTCAGACGTGGTGAGAGGTGTATGTGTGTATGTGTGTGTGTGTGTGTGTGTGTGTGTGTGCGTGCGTGCGTGCGTGCGTGCGTTTGTGTGTGTATGTGTGTGTGTGTGTGTGTGTGTGTGTGTGTGTGTGTGCGTGCGTGCGTTTGTGTGTGTATGTGTGTGTGTGTGTGTGTGTGTTCTCACCCTGACTTCATCGCTCTGGAACATGAAGATGGTGGTGGTCCGTTTCTTCTTGTTCTGAACGGAGACAATGAGCAGGGAGTCAAACAGGCTCCCATCCAAGATGGCGATCAGGTCCTGGACGTCTCTGAGGGAGATGGTCTCCAGCTCCTCCTGAGAAAACACAAACTTTGAGTGTTGACATGGAAACTGCTCTCAGCGCAGAGATTCATTCCAAACCTGAGTGTTCATGTTTTAGGCCGTTACAGTTATCATCAGCTGTTTCTATAAACCGTGCCACTGTTTAACTTTTTCTGCCAGATGTTTCTACATGTAGGAGATGGGATGACTTAAACTGCTGGTTGAAGTTTTGAAGAAAAACTTTCCAAATAAAAGATGAAAAAGAATGTTTGAAAGAAGTTGTGGACCTAATCCTCTGAAGGTGTGATCGTTCTGAACAACCTGACCATAAACCAACAGGCAACACTAAAAATACAGAAAATGAACTATTTTATACAGATTTGGTCCCAGATAAATGTCACATGACTGCTTCAGGTCATCCTTCAGCAACACCTATAACCCTTTTTAAGCTCCTCACCAACAAAAAAGCAGCAAAACTTTTTATCTTTTAATTTTTTAATTAATTTAAGAAAGTCAAGGTAAAAGTATGGAAGCTCATTCCTGCCAGTCTATTGAACAAAAATCTCGTGTGTCATAATTATGAGATAAACAATTGCTTTTATCAGAGTGGCAGGAATCGCCTTCCATTTAAATATAAACAAACTAGGGATGGACAATATATCGGCATCAATGTCGGTATCGGCCGATGTTACTCATTTTATAACACATCGATATCGGTTCGACAAATAAAACCAGGCCGATATTAACAACTGATACGTTTTCCATCTCGTCTCCATTTGTTTGCCTTTTTCAGAGGGCGAGGGAGGTGATGTGTGGTTGTTTAGTCATGTAAACAGTGAATGAAATCCTCTCAGAATGGTAAATGTGTGTGTACATAATAACGTAAATTCAGCTTTAATCATTTTCATTCCATACAAAATCTGCTAATATTGGTATCGGCCCAAACGTTTCATATCGCTGCATCACTAAAATAAACAATAAAAAAATACCGGAAAATAATGTTTCAGTGTTACTCAAACATCCCAAGGGTTTTTTATAGAATTTATTTTCTTTATTTGTTTTTTGTTTTTTTATTTTGTTTACTTTTCATTTGATTTTGGGGCGTTTTTCAATACCATTAGGACAAAAACCTGCTCCACTAAGTGTTTGACATTCCTGTTGAAAGATGAAAGCATCATCTGTGTTTTTGTGATTCATATTGTTCCAGATGTTAGGGTTTGGACAGCAGACAGACTTAACACCTAGAGTTTTGATTGCAGAATAAGTGAAACGGTTTATAGAAATGTGAGGATTTGTTTCACACAATGCAATTTTTGTCCTGCTTTGTTGCTTCTTTCACAGTTTTCATTGTGTAGCGGACGCAAATTGATGATTTTTATTTGCTATGACCAGGAAGATGTAATAGTCTATGTAAATATTAAATATTAACCTGCTAGGTATTTATTTTAATTATTCAGCAGATTCTAGGTTTTAATTCAGAAGATCTATGTTCTTTGCTTTTTCAGTGATCAACCACACTTTGTGTTATTTCAAGAAAGAGTCAGGTTTATAAAAGTAAGAATTTATTTTACTAACAATTTAAAACATGACTAATTAACTAAGCATTTACTGTGAGTGGATGTAACTAAACGTGATGAAGGAACCTATGCGTGAATGTGATGTCAGTCAGAGCTTCCTCATCAAAGTAAGCTGAGTTCTGGTGAAAACAATTTGGTTTGCTCTAAGCTACAAAGATGTTATCATCAGAAGAACATCAGACGCGATCTGTCACGTCTACTTCACCCGTTTTTGAGAGACCCTGTTGGTGGATCCGAAAGTCACAGGGGTCGGCTGACCTCTGGCACCGGAGGGCTGTAGAATACCGTGGTACCGACTCTTCAGTCCAGAGATGTCTCGGGTCACAACAGCTGGATGGAACCGTGCGTCTGGCGGACTCTTAAGGAGTCTAACAACATCAGCTTTGTTTCTGCAGGAACTGTTTGCTCATCAGCTTTGCAGGTGCAAAAAGGTTTTGACGAAGTGTCAAAATCTTTGATGGTTAAAGAGGTCTTGCTACGGGTGGCCGGTCTGAGCGATTCTCTAGAACTGTCGAACCACTCAGGATGATCCAGTTTTAAGGATTTGATGTTATGACTTGCACAGCCAATCAGAGGCTGACAACTTGGGAGATGTTACCAAGACAACCCAGAAACACACCTTCTTAATACGGGATGTTCCGACTGGTTGAAAAGTCTATATGTGTTGGAGTCTAACTTAACTGTACTTGTTATTGTGTGAGTGCAGGTGTGAGGACTTTGTTGTAAAAACATGAACACATGGCAGTCTCTGTAGACATACATAACATAACATCCATTCAGTGAGCACAGATTAATGAAGCATTTCATTGTACTATAATTTTGAAAAGTAGTAATAAACAAATGTTTATTTAATGATTATCTAGATTATAAGTCATGGAAGAAGTTCTTATTGATTTAGGAAATCATTCTTGATTTTAGCAATTGATTCGAGCTGGAGGTGTTCCTTCTGTGGAGGCAGACAGATGGGACCTTGGGAAAGAAAGTTATTGTTTATCTTTCAGACTTGTAGAGTCTGTGAGCTGGTATGAAGGCGGGCTCATTTAAAGGGAACACATGCAATGTTGTGTCTCCTTTCTGACCAGGTGTTTGAATAGATGTCGAAAGGTCAGACTGTACCTAAACTGACCATTGCTGGACGCTACAATTGCCTGATGCAGACAGGTCAAAGGCCAGGGGATCATTTGTCTGCCAGTTAGCAAAATAGCTTGTAAGCCACTGTGTGGATGTAAATGATAGTCATTCGTTGCTAACATGTGAAATAACGTGAAATCGTGCACAGTGGGTTTTTTTTCTTCTCCACAATTTAACCAAAACTGCACCATCACTTCTCAGGAAAGAGTTTATTCCTCCAAAGGATTCTAGGTCCATGGTTCTGACTGGCCCAGGCCTTCCACCCCTCATACCTTTGTGTCTATGTCTGTGAGCAGCAGGTCGTGGTCCCTCAACTCCAGCAGCATGGTCTGACCCCAAACCCGGCCCATGTGATCCAACAGCTTCAGGCGCTCCACGCAGTCTCTGATGTTCCTGAGATCCTTCCCGTCCAGGTCACAGGTGAACAGGTGCTGCAACACACGCCTGTTAAACAACCTGGAGCAGAAACGCTCACACACACACACACACACACACACAGTTTTGCTCCTACCTCCACTTTGTACCGAACCTTCTGCAGCATCTTGTTCATGGATGCTGCGTACTCCATCCTCTGCACTGTTAAACCAGTCAAACAAAAACATTGAGGGAATCGTCACCACTACACGAGCTTGATTATCCACAACAACTCACAGTAAATAGATTTAGCACTCGGCTTGGATATGTTTGAGATTTGTGACGAGGTCTCATCCAGCATGGAAACCCCACTGTCTCAGGGAGAGAAACAACATCAGAGTTCCTGAATGAAAAAGGAAATCGCTTAAAGCTGTGAAACACAGACTTGGACTGGAGGGATCCGGTGAAGCTGCTGGTGTCGAAGCTGAAGGGACTGTTGCTCCTGGACATCCTGTCAGAACATACCTGCACATGAAGAACAACACCTCGTGCTCGTTTAAAGATCGGTGCTGTTCCTACATGAAGATAACTGAACTTTTTACAGGAACAAAACTACAAACCCATCTAGAGCTAACATGTATTTGTGTTTATCGTCACCTGGAGACAAAGATCAGATAAACAAAGACGTCTTCATGTGGCCGCTGCAGTCTTCGTACTGAGATTTTACCCTTTAAACTGAACAAATGTTCCACCTAATTCAGAACTTCTTGAATTTTGTGAATAAAACAAACAGTAATATAATTTCGTTTGGCACTGAGTAATCCTCAGACCTTCAAACAAACTGTTACCATAAATCAAACGTCCCTACCTTTAATCCGCAATAGCTGGGTCCTTCTCGTCTCTTGTCCCGCTTGTTTTTTGTGTTTTAGAGCTTCAGTTCAGCTCCTCGACAATGTGAACCCAGAGCTTCCACAGGAAGGAGGAGGAGGACAAAGTCCTCCAGCAGCAACTGAACATTATGAGTGTGCCGTGTCCTAGAGAGGGTGTGAGTCTTTACTGTGGCATCACAAAGGTTAGGCGATACTGAGGACATCGCCTCACCCTCGACTTTCCACAACATTAAAACTCATTTTATTACAGTTTTCTGACTCTAAGATAAAGAGCAAGCAATAAGAAGAAATTTAATAATTGATTATAAAAATATAAACAATACAAAATGTTAGTTTATAAATATACAGACATATATATATATATATATATATATATATATATATATATATATATATATATATATATATATATTTATATATATATATTTCTGCTGTCGGTTCCTGGTTCATATATATATATATATTTATACGTATATGATAAATGATCCGTACGTGTAAAGCGCCTCTCAGAGTAAGGACTCCAAAGCGCTTTACACTACAGTGTATCATTCATCCATTCACACAAACATTCACACACTGGTGGGGATGAGCTACAGCTGCCCTGGGGCGCACTGACAGAGGCGAGACCCACCTTTTTAGCTTAGCTTTTAACTGATTACTATTTATCTAGTCTGTTTAACTGTATCGCTTGTCGTATTTGTTTATTTATATATATGTATACCTATTTATCCATTTTACTTAATTTAATTGTTTTATTCACATCTTAGTGTTTTTATATGATTATGTTTTCTTTTACTATCTTTATAATCACTTTTTATCAGTTACTTTCTATCCATATTAGCTTTTGTTATTTTACAGTTATATATTTTAATCCTCAAGTGTTTCCTCTGCGGAGCCCTCTGCCTTGGGGCCGGTGGTCGGCGGCGGCGGCCGGGGCGCTCCTCGGGTAGTGCCTGGGCAGTGGTGGGGGTCTCCGCCCTCCCTCCCTGGGCGTCATGGGCCGGTGTCTTGGCTGCTGCCGTGGATCTGTTGCTGCCAGGGCAGATGGCTCCGCTGATGATGTGTCGTCCAGTACCTGACCCATCTGAACTCAGCCTATTGTTTACTCTGTTGTTCACGTGTGTGTGTGTGTGTGTGTGTGTGTGTGTGTGTGTGTGTGTGTGTGTGTGTGTGTACATTCACCTTGGAAATTGGTTGCTGGAGGGGAAGTGTAATTGTCAATTGTTTTATACTTGGGGAGGGGGGCTGGGATGGGAATATGGGATCTATGGGACCATTTTAATCTGTAAAGCACTTTGAGTTGCATTTTTTTGTATGAAAAGTGCTATATAAATAAAGATGATTTGATGTAAATCAAAAGCCAAATGCCCCCTAGTGGCTGGCTGCAGAAAATGTATAGGACCTGCTCCTTCACATTCCAAAATAAAAAGTACACTTCAGATCATTCTCTCCAGGTGTTACCATCTACTCTTCCATGTTTAGCCCTTGCTCCAGCATCTTCTAAGTGTATTTTCTTGCTGTCAAACTTAGTTATTTGATGATTAAACACACTATGATTATGTGCGGGTGAGAAGCCCAAATCATCAGCCCTCCACCATCATGCTGACTGATTTATCCATCACCAAGATCAAATACCTTGTTTGCGTTCCGAATTTCTCATTTCGTCATGAACATAAACTTTCTCCATACACCTCCAACCCTTCCAGATCAATGGAAAGCAACAGTTGCATCTAAGGTCAGAGCCGACATCTTTTCTCTGGCGTTAACATACCCCTGTATGCTCCAGACCAAAGAAATTGACAAAACAACATATTTTTCTTCTTCATCATGTCTGCTGATACACAAAACTTAGAAATAAACTCATTTAGTGTACCTATGTATAAACTTTAATAACGGGGTAAAGGTCAGTATCAGTGAAATACTGTGCTGTACTTTTTGGGGAGCAACAAACATTACAACTTTCAATAACTATTGCAATAATAAAAAAAATTGCCGCCAAAACACATAAAAACAGCTCAAATTTTAAATGTTTGTTAATTTACATAAAAAATAATATTATCAGATGCATTTTTTTATTTTTCCATCCTCAAAAACTCAGTTATTAATTGTAAGAAATAACATCAACATTTGAAATTACTTTGTTTCCATTTATTCCCGATTCCTTTCCTTTTTTCTAAAACTCTGCAGGGACATGCTCTCCTGATCTAGTTAACTGGTGTCAGCGCTAGACTATAATCTGCGTCGCTCCGTTTTTCCGACACCAGCTAAACGAAACCAGACTCGGTTTACCCCCAGCTGCTGCAAAAGCCACTCAACCAGAGCTAAATTATGGTCCTCCATGTTTCACAGTGGATCGGGGTCAACCTCATAGAGCTGATAAGACTCTCCAAAAAGCTCCGGTTTTGTGTGACAAGGCAGTTTATCTCAAAACTTCATGGTTTGTCAGCATGCAATTAGGCAAATTCCAGCCGCCATTTCATAATTGGTTTTAAACTAGTGTTCTCAACTTTTTGTTCCAGTTGGGCTCAGAAACAGATGGACTATTGACATTTCTATAGGCCATCTCTTATATTTCTCAATCTTAATTTAAACAGAATTAATTTGAAGGACCTGATTTTCAGTCATCAGTTTATTCAACTTCCCTTTTTTTGGCTCATAAATTGTTTTTACTCATAAAATTGTCATTTGAAAGCATATTTTATTGATAAAACAAACATGCAACCACAGCAAAATACATTCAACATAACTATGCACCCAAAGTGCAGAGAAATAAAAAGATAAATGTAGCTTTATTTAAAAGGCTGCCAGGATGGCATATGGCTTCAGCTCAGACTCCGCTTTCCTCATCTACACGTTTTATTAGCAGAGTCCCACCGATGCATTCAGACTGAAGGGGTTTGGTGACTGGTGGCCTTTAGGACAGGCAGGAGATAACTTGATTGGATAAAAAAAAAGATACGGGTTGGTATCTGTAACTGATTAACTATGTTAAATAGTTCCCTGCAACAAGCAGGACTTTGACCCATGCAGACGCCGCATCCGTCTCATTTCGGCACACAGACCCACACAGCACTCAAGACACAACCTTTACATACAGAGAAGATTCGGTTTTACCAGAATTAAACAAAAAATCCTACTAGCACACTTCTAAATGTGATTATGCGTAAGTACTTGTTGCTAAGAGGTGGAAAGTCCTAGCAGATGTGTGTAATATAGATATTTATTCATAGAGTTCACAGTTTTGTTTGCTTCACTGAGCCTGCAGGGCCTGAGCAATGTTCAGACCCGACCCTGGGGGCAAAGCCCAGCCCTCCTGACCCTGGTGGTTCTGCAGTAGGTGGTACAGCTGCTTTAGGTGGGTCACTATATTGTCTTTTATATCTGGGATGGAAATCTGTAGGCGAACGCTGCCGCTGTCAAACGATCGGGTGTTGTCTCCAGAAAACATTTCGGTGATCATTCGAGCCACCACAGGAATTACCTGAAAGACAAAAAGAGGCGTAAACATGATGTCATCACATCTCTAGTCATTTAAAACATACGACATGAAGATTTTTATTTACAAAAGATGAAAAACTTGACAATTGGGTGCATAGGTCTTGTTTCCATTTAGAAACAATAAATGGGACGGTGACGCTAAATAGCTTTGTTCCTGTTTGTTACTTTATGGAGAAGAGGTGGGATTAAATGTCTTCACATCCTGTTTAGGATTAAGCAAATATATTAATGGTATTTCTTCTTTATCTTTGCCATTTTTAAGATTTTAAGTATTTTCTTGTAGTTATTTTGAATATTTTCTTTAAACCATAATTACTTGTTCAAAAATACATCAAATCAAGTGTAACTGAACTAAAGAGGGACACAGAATGCATTTAATTACTGTAGAACAAATGAAATTTTACCACAAGTTGGAACAATAATCCAGGACTCGCTGACTGGGTTTAAATGAAACTCTCACAGAGTAACTATGGGATGTCCATCTTCATTACTGACTTTAGAGACTACCTAATTCTAGACGCCCACCATAGCCAACTGATGTATAGAAAAAAATACCAGACTTTATGACTCTATGCGTTTATCCTCAGTCACTGTGCAACATCTCTGCAGGAATGCTCAGAAATCAACATTTCCTGCACATCAAATTCAAAGCAATGCTGGTAGATTAGCGCTAAAATTTCTGGAACTGGAAAAACAGGCTCTTGCATAAAAACGCTGTGTGTTTACATGCTAAAAGGATCAAATGTTGTGATAAACAACCACACGTTTGTTCTCATTCCCTTCATTATCACCTCTCTGAGTTCTAAGAAATCCTTTCACCTTAAAAGCTCCGGGAAAGTGGCCACACCTTAACGGTAACACACACACACACACACACACACACACACACACACACACACACACACACACACACACACACACACACACACACACACACACACACACACACACACACACACACACACACACACACACACACACACACACACACACACACACACACACACACACACACACACACACACACACACACACACTAGAAACTCCTGTTGATGTCATGCTGCTAATAAAATCATCTAAAGATATTAGGACCATTTTTAAACAACCAGGAAGGAAAAAGGGCTTTTAGGTGCTGCTCGCCCACCTGGACCATGATGAGTTTCCTCTCCTTGGGCCTTCCATCGGGCCACTCTTCTCCAAAACACAAACTGATTTCATACTGTGGGGGGGTTGATGACTGGCTGCGCTGGTGAGCGATCACACCTGGAGATTAATGGGAGGGGGGGGGGTCAATAATCTCATATTACATCAAAAACTATCTATTAGTGAAAAGATGGAAGGAACACACTTTCACTGTTTACTCTTCGATCCATTTTTCATGTTTTCTAGATCAGGGTATCTGCAGGTTTAAGGGAGCCAAATTTAAGACGTTTTAAGACCTTTTTTATGGCCACTTTGACCAAATTTAAAAAATTTTTAAAAAATTAAATTGAAGCTATAATTTCCAGCTATTGCCTGGAACCGGTGCTAACCACGTCGCGAACGTGGGATTAACCATCCAGTTACCATTAAACTTGCACTTCCCCATGGCGCAAGCTCCCACTAGCTTAACCAGCTAATGTGCTCATCTAAAAATAGCCCCCTTTCACAACCAACTGAATGTGTACGGTTCCGCTTACGCCAACGTCGTACACAAAAAATGCTGAACTAGAAATTCACGAAAATGTTATAGTAATAAAATAATCTTGTTTATTGGGTCTTTGGTAATTTAAGACCTTTGGAAACTGTATTTAAGGATTTTTTGTCATTTTTAAGGATTTTTAAGGCCTTAAATTTGGAAAAGCAAATTTAAGACTTTTTAAGGACCCGCAGATACCCTGTAGATTTTTTTAGCCGTTTAATCTAAAAACGATCAAATGAAATAGTTACCGCTTAGAAAGGACTCCAGACAGAAGAGTTTGACCTTCCTCTGCCTCTCGATAAGGTTTGGTGCTGCTGGGTTTGGAGCACACGGACCGGACCAGTACACCTTGCACTGGCACAGGCGGACCGCATAGATATCGTGACCGCTGACCTCTAGGATCAGGCCCCGATCCATGACATCCAGCAGGCGGTTGGTGAAGACCCTCTGCTTGTCGTTGGTGATGTGCTCCGTGGTCGGGAAGCGTAACTGCTCCAGGTTGATCGGGCCGAACAGCTCTTCCTGGTTGGCCATGGGGCCGAGGTCCCCGTAGAAGAGTCTGCAGCCCTGTGGGTTGCTGACAGTCAGGGTGGGACCCATCTCCTTTCCCCTGTACAGGAACTGCACCTCTAGGTCTGTCACTGGGTCAGAGACGGAGACAGGGAGGTGAAAAGGGAGGAAATGTTATTGCAGAGACACAAAAACATGATGTTGGATCTGAGCTGGGCCCAGAGCTGTGTGGGTCTGAAGACAGCCTGAACATGTCACTGATATCACAGAAAAGCACCAGGATGACATCTGCGACTCGGCATAGAATCACTTCTGTTCAGGTTTTGTGACTTACTCAAGGAGGTAAGGAAATATCACTTAAAATGGTGCAATCAAACAGGTTTCTCTTTGAGAAACAGAAGTGGTGCAGTCCCCCATCAGGGAAAGATGTTTGTATAGAAAGTGGTGCAGAAAAATAAATGTTTTACACAAGATGCATAAAAAAAAAAGTTCTCATGTGCAGCATGCATACATGTACTCACAACTGAACCCTCCTAAAGTCAACCTTTCATTACAGGAACTATCTGGTTACCGGCTTTACTTTGTTTTATACAGTACGGAACTGTAAACCACAAAAAACAGAGGGATAACATCAAAACAGAACTAGCCCAACTCACTCGGGAGGGAACTGATCCACATCTCAGGAGAGGCAAAGGAGTAGTCAGGCAGAGGAGGCGGCTGCAGCGTAGGATCAGCCAGAGGAGCAGGAGGGAGGTCCAGAGGAGTGGGGTGCATCTCCACGTCGGCGGGCTCCTCTTTAGGCCAGATCTTAGGTTCTTCTTTGGGCCACACCTCGTTGGAAGGAGGACAGCTGGGAGGCTGCATGGAAGAGTCTGAGCCCATTGGAGACCACATTATGAGAGGAGAGGGACTGGTGCCTGGAGGCAAAGGAGAGTTATTTATTTATGATAAATGACCCGCCTCTCTCAGAGTAAGGACTCCAAAGCGCTTTACACTACAGTGCATCATTCACACATTCACACACTGATGGTGGTGAGCTACGATGTAGCCGCAGCTGGCCTGGGGCGCGCGGCTGCTGAGCACAGGCGCCGCCGGTCCCTCTGACAACCACCAGCAGTTAAGTGTCTTGCCCAAGGACACAACAGCAGAATTCTCTGTCCGTAGCCGGGATCGAACCTGCAACCTTCCGATTACTGGACAACCGGCTCGACCTGTTGAGCTACTGCGGCCCCCATATTATTAATGTTTGATTTGTTAAAACTGGAAGTGGTAAGGAAAAACTGTCACCATTTGATGGATACGGAGGAAGAGAATCCGGTGTGTCTGGAATATCCTCCTCACCAATGTCCTCGTCATATGGAGTATGAGAACCAGCGTCTGAAGGAGCTGTGGGCAGAGAAACAAGTTAAGCGTGTAAACAACCAACCCCCCTACAAGACCAGGCTCATACAACCGTTACCTTGGTTACTGTGAGGCTGAGGGATGTCACAGACATCATAGATCTTCAGAGGATTCATGGGGACTTCTTTGGTGCCGTCATAGACCAGCTTGAACTCTCTGCTCTTGTTCAGGGCACAGCGAAGCTGAGCTTTCCACTTGGCGGGATCGGGTTCATCTACTCCCTCCTGGAACTTCCCGGTCTCCACGGCCCACGCCTGAAGGAACGGTTAGAAACGAGGGATCGGTTTCACTGAGCCTGAGTGTACATCTGATCGGTAAAGAACACCTGCTGCAGTGGTGTCACGTGCGTTAGACACATGCTGAATCAAAACACCTGCATGCATAATAAAAACACTGTGCCATAACACATCAGCTCCAATGCAGGATGGCTCCTGCAAGCAGTTGCATTATTACTTTAAATATGGTGTCCTCGTCCTCGTGCTGGGGTGTGTGTCGCGTGGCGTGTTTCCATGGGATCTTGAAGCGCATGGCCTCACGGTCCAGCCAGACCAGATCCGGGTACCGACCGCTGTCCACCTGAGCGACCAGCCAGGGCTTCAGGCGCACACGGCGCGGGGTCACAGCCATCCTGACAGGACAAAACACAACCATGTCAGAAAACATTCTAGAAGTGTCACTCCCAAAGCAGCTTCCAAATTCCAGGATTGACCTTTTTTCCTGCTTTATTCTGACCCTCCGTGACCTTTAACGTATCGTCCGCGTGCACATTTAATTCTTTATATGTGTGTACAAACAGCAGCTTCGAATAAATTAAACTCGATCAACACCAGAACTCGACTAGTAAAACCGTCAAACATACTTGAAGTGAAGCCGGAAGTCGTCTTTTCCTCGTCGGGCTGCGCGCGCGAGCCTCTAAGAATGAAAGCGTGCGTTTCTCCGCCGCCGATCAACCGTAAGCACGCCCGGTGCCTCAGACCGAGCCGACTGAACCTAACCAACTTCGGAGGGGTCTGGTGGAGCTAGAAGAGCTGATGTTTGTCCGTCGACCCGGTGCTGCCCTCACTCCTCTTCCTGCTCACCGAAACTCAGGTAAGGGCGTGACGTCACAGCAGTGACACACCTTTTCTGAGTGTTTGTCACGGAGCATGACGGGACATTTTTTCCACACCAGCATTACACCGAGATACAAGTTGGGATCTTTTTTACCCAATTGTAGAAAGTACAAGTCAAAGTTCTCAGTCCTCTCAATGATATATTTGGTGTGTCGCAGATGGTAGCACACCTGTAACATTTATCATAGACGTATGATGGGGACTTCCTAATAAGACAGGGGGTGAACGGTCGGAGACAAACCAGGCTTACAATAGCAAACCACGCCCTGAAACCGTGGATCTGTCCAGCACGTCCTCATGACTCGCTGCAGTTTCAGATTAATAAGCATAGTGTGTGATGGTAATCGTTGCTTTTCGTTTTAATGATCCGTGTGTGTGTGTGTGTGTGTGTGTGTGTGTGTGTGTGTGTGTGTGTGTGTGTGTGTGTGTGTGTGTGTGTGTGTGTGTGTGTGTGTGTGTGTGTGTGATGGGTCATCTTGTGATTTGCATCAGAGGTTCATGACCCCTACATACAGATTAAATCTAAGGAGATCAATAATGAGGTGTTTAATGCATTCAGATTTAGGGTTGTTGAATTTAACATCTCGTTAAATTTAATATTTTTGTGTTAAAAGTATGATTTGTTTTCTCTTGTCTTCAAGCCAGCAATTAAAATAAAGTAAATTCAAGAAAATAAAAGGTGTATATATATATATATGTATATATATATATATATATATATATATAGAGAGAGAGAGAGAGAGAGAGAGAGAGAGAGAGAGAGAGAGACAGAGAGAGAGAGAGAGAGAGAGAGCATACTTCATACACAGAGGCAATCCAGTGAAAGAACATTAAAATCAACATGACAGCACAATTGAAATACACACAACTTTAATTTAGATTTAAAAATTCAAAAGAAAATGACAAAGTCAAAGGGCAGCAGTTACAGTGCAGAAGGTGCAGTATAAGAACAGTCATTCAAAGGCTGATGAAAACATGAAGGTTTTCAATTTTGATTTAAAGTTTACTAGAGTTGAGGCTCATTTGAGGTCACGAGGAAGCTGATTCCATCTGTGAGCAGCAGCTAAAAGCAGCTTCACCCTGTTTGGTTCTGACCCGAGGTTCTACCAGCTGACTGCTTCCTAGGGACCTCAGAGCCCTGCTGGGCGTGTATACCCGAACGAGATCTGGCATGTATTCTGGCCCCATGCCATCAAGTGATTTATAAACTAGTAGAAGCACTTTGAAGTTGATTCTGTAGTTTACTGGTAACCAGTGTAGAGATCTAAGAACAGGAGTGATGTGCTCGGTTCTCTTGGTTCTTGTTAAGAGTCTAGCAGCAGCATTCTGAACAAGCTGCTGTTGCTGCACAGCTCTTTTGGGAAGACCAGACTAAAGACCTTTGCAATAGTCCAGCCTGCAGGAGATGAACACGTTAGGTCCTGTTTAGACACGAGACCTCTGAGTCGTGCTGTGTGATGAAGATGATAAAACGCTGATCTAGTTATAGCCAGTTATGTGGCCAGTGAAGCTCAGGTCTGAATCAGTTATGACACCAAGATTTCTAACCTGAGTCTTTGTAAAGGAAAACCTCTCGGTTCTTTGACGGAGTTGCAGATGGGGACAGCCTTCAGTCTGTTTTGTTTTAACACAACGGTCTGGAGAAACTGAAGCTTATTTAATTTTTTAATAAATAAACGTAACATTTGGAACCACGTCAGGTGACCTCCAGTATTTCCTTGTTCTGCAGCAGGCATCAAAACACATGTACCTTTTATTCATCGTGGATGTTGTAATGTATAATTTTAAAAAACATTAATACATCCTTTATTAATGCAGGTAAAGTCACATAAAGATGTTTTTAATGGAACAACAAATACAACTGTAGTCTGGATTTATTTATGTAGTGTGTTTTTCTAAGTTAGACAGCTTTTCTCAAACTGAATATTTATTTACTTATTAGACCTGCATGGAAATCAGTTACTTAAACACACAGAGGTGATCTGTGTAATTAGAAGTGAGCTGTTTTTAAATGACTGTAGCTGGACAGGATTTTTGTTTAGGACTTCAATAGCCTGTAAAATCCAGCTAAAATTTAAAGGATAGTATAATTTAGATTTAGACACGGATAATGCTCTAGAGCCTTCCTATCTTTGGTGTTGTTGCTATGCAGTCAACTATTTAGTTTATTTCTGTATTCCTTCTGTTTCTTTGTGGAAGAAGGATTTGTTGCTTACTTCACTGGTAAAATGTAATGGTAAAAATGACCTAAAATGAAACTTTTTTAAGGCTTCTTTTTTTTTTTTACATTTTTGTCATGTATGAGAAAAAGAGAACAAATTTGTTGTTTTTGTAACAAGTTCTCTACAATTTCCTTTTAAAGTCTGTGATGTGCAGACACCACTCTTGGGTTTATTGCATTTTTATACATGAATAATTAAGTGACTCCAAATATTAAATAACTACAAGTACAGGACTGACAACGAGAGAAAAACACAAAATCTAAAGAAAACCCTTAAGACTAAAAAAATGATGTGCAATAAAATAATTTGAGATTATACATAACCCAAACCATCCTGAGATTACTTTTTATAATCTCTAAATATACTTTGCATGTATTATGTCCTTGAGTGCTCAGAAAGTCAATATAAATCATGTTTATTATTATTATTATTCATTATTATCATTTTAGCTGGTTATAGTTAAGTTAATATTCTACAAAATCATGAATGTTTACTTTGCTGATGAGTGGCGTCTGTTAGCTCAATTTCTAAACCCATGACAAGTCAAAGACAAATACCACATTTGTTTATTTTTACAAAACACAACAGAGCGGGACATTTTTGTGCAAACTGACGTATATTCTCCACCAACAGATGACAGCAGAGCGTGTTATATGATCCTGCAGAGCTCCACCAGCAGAAGCTGCTGCTCTGCACACACAGGAAAAAACAAACATTTGATTTAATTTAAATTGTGCGTCTTTCCATAAAAATAAAGAAGACTGAGTTAAACTGTCATTAGTCAAACAACAAGACATGAGGCTGAAACTAGCGCACTCTCACTCAGGAGGAGCTGACCAGTTGTTTTCAGGCGAGGGACACCACAGACCTCCAGTCCATCGTATGGACAGGGAGCGTCACATACTTACCCCTAGGAACAACTTGGTCACCAATTACCTGAAATGCATGTTTTTGGTCTTTGGGAGGAAACCGGAGTACCCAGATAAAATCCATGAATGCACAGGGAGAACATGCGTCATGCAAAAAGGCTGCAGCTGGGATTTGAACCTAGAACCTTCTTGCTGCAAAGCTACCAGCTGCCTTACCATTCATCCCCATGATTACATAAAACTAGAAATGATGCATCTGTTCAGATAACCACTCTCATTAGTAGGCTAAGTCCTGTTCAAACTGGTTTTCATTCCAAATAATCATGTTTTCTGTCTTCATCTGATATAATATTTCTGACCTTCTTTTTTAGGGTTACTTTCTGAGTTGCTCAAAATTAAATTAGATGCAAACTGCACAAATAGATAACCTCAAGAGGTTTAAATGTCATTCGATTGAATAAATTACAAAAATGTAACTTTTTTAAAGAAACCATTATAAATAAAGGCTCGAGTTTCCTGTCCTTTTGAGGAAATTTTTATAATTTACTGAAATAATTGCAAGTCAAAACAAATCTATGGAAGCCCATTCCTGCCACTCAGATTAAAAAAAGTATTATATCACAATTATGACTTAGCTATCTCATAATAATGAGATACTATCTCATTATTATGAGATACTATCTCATTATTATGAGATACTATCTCATTATTATGAGATACTAAGTTATAATACTGAGATAATGAGATAGTATCTCATAATAATGAGATAGCTAAGTCATAATTATGAGATAATAATTTTTTATCTGAGTGGCGGGAATGGGCTTCCATATAAATCAAAACAAACAGGAATGTTTGTTTTTCATTGTCCTAAGACACACACACATACACACACACACACGCGCACACACACACGCACACACACACACACACACACACACACACACACACACACACACACACACACACACACACACACACACACACACACACACACACACACACACACACACACACATACGCACGCACGCACACACACACACCAAATAATGTTTCTATGGTTACATTGTGATTTCTTAGTAAATATTCTATTTTGTAAGAGATAAACTTTATTGTATTTATGCTAGTGAATCTATAATTAAACTGGTAAACATTCAATGTCAAGGAAAGTAAAGTGTTATTATCAGGAGAGGGAGAATGTTTAAATAGTTAGCAAAAGTGTTCAAGACGATGGCCCCCTCCATGAGGCCTCTACAGCTAACCTTTATGCTGATGACACAGATGTTTATTGGTAATTACAATCAAACTGAATTTAGATGAATCTATCAGCATCCGTCCACACAGTGTTAGAGACATGAGAGAATAAAGTGGGCCTAGACTGAATGAAATGCTCAAACTGTCTATCAGTATTAAATAAAGTGAGTAGGACCTCTTAAGGTTGGTTTATGCTTGACGCGTCCGCAAGGTTCGCACGGCGAAATTGCGTCATTTTAACAACCACGCCCCTCCACCGCGCCTCCGCACAGCCCAAAAATTCCGTACCGCGCACCTAGGAATTTTTCTAACCACGCGGACGGTCGGACGCGGAAAAACATGGCGGACTGGCAAGAACTAGTGTGGCAGAGGTTCGTAAATACAGACATTTGTATGATTCAGCTCTCAAAGATCACCGTGATCAACATGTTGTTAATAATTCTTGGAGAGAAATAGCTCGCACTGTCGGAAAAGACGAGGACGCTGTTAAAAAATGCTGGAATGCCATGTTGTAAACAACAGTAATTTTTACTTATACTATGGTGTAGTGTTGGATGCATGCCGTAGAGCTCCATGCTGCCCCCTACAGTTTGGGAGAATATTGGCTCTCCACAGAGACAAGCCGCATGAACCATAAACGCTGCGAGTTGTGAAGCGCGTTCCATCCGCGAGCCGCATCACCAAGCGGAAAGTAAATGTGTCAAGCATAAACCAAGGTTGAAGGGTGGCATATCACGAGCCTCACAGCCTCAGAGAAGACTTTGAAGCTGCTCAGTATTGTGCCTGAAGGAAGAAGGGTGAGCAGGTCAATGACTAGATGGATGGTGTTTTATGTTAGATCCTTTGTTGTGGTTCCTATTCTGATGGTGTAAATGTCCTCTGGGCAACACTAACACAACTCTTTGCAGCACCTTCCAGTCATCCTCGAAGCAGTTGCCATACCAGGCAGTTATGGAAGATGTCAGGATGCTCTTCATCACGCACTCACAAAAAACATTCACACTGAGACTGGCTTCTTCAAAATAAGCGGTTATGTGCAGGCCCGTGTATTTACCCTATTCACCAGCTGCAGTGCTTCTTCTCCTGTGGTGAGGGGCATAAATCCTTCTTTTAAATTCCACTGCCACAAATTTTGTCTTTGCCATGTTAGTTACTTTAACCCTCCCACTGTCTTTATGGGTGACCCCTTGAGGAAAGTTGACCGTTGAGCAGGATTGATGGTTTATCCCTTGAGGTCCACGTGGCAGGGGTGAGGTGGTGCTCACTTCTCCAGGAGATCGAGGTTAAAATCTTGGTCGGGTCATACCAACAACTTTAAAAATGGGACCTCATGCCTCCCTGCTTGACATTCAGCTTTAAAGGGCTGGATTGGGGAGTTAAACCACCAAATAGTTCCCGAGTGTGGCTGTGTCTGCAGCTCACCGCTCCTCATGGGGGTAGGTCAAATGTGGAGGACAATTTTAACCACTCACACCAGTGTGTGTGACAACTATTGGACTTTAATCTTTACTCTAAACCACCAAAAACTTTCCGAGCACAGCGGCAGCTCACCGCTCCACACGGGGATGGGTCAAATGTGAAGATTAATTTTACCGGTGTGTGATGACTAATGGGACTTTAACTTTACCTCCCTGCTATACAATGACTTGTCACTGTTGGGGATCAAACTAACAGCAGTGTCATCTGCAAATGTCTCAATATGTATTTCTCAACCAGGATATGTTGAAGAACAATCATATGAAACCATCACATGGATCTGCAATCCTGTAGGATAATATGGTTTCATTCCCACTAACATCTAAGCTGTATGTCATCAAAAGGGAATGCAGAAATATTTCCTCACGCTGTTATCTGTAAACACATAATGTGTGTTGTCAGCAGAGGACAAAGTGCTCCAGGCTTCATGTGGTAAACTCATAACAGTGCTTCTAAATACTTCAACTGCGTCAAATATTTTCACATCTTCAGAACAAATGCAAAAATGTCCAAACGTTACAAATAAAATATGTACAAAAATGCTTAAAATGACAGTTTTACATGGTAATACTAATTATTAAGGAATTCTTGTTTATTCTGTGTTTAAACGAAACATGGTTTAACCATTACTGAACAATGTTCACATCTGTGGGAAAATTACTGCATTAGTAAATGGGGGAGCAAACCTATGGCAAAAACAAAGCTCTTCACATGCAGTGAAGTAGTAACCAGTTGTGTTTAGAGAAGGACGAGATGAGTAACTATTACAACTTGTATAGTGTCTTCCCTGCCTGCTCCACGAAGCATGTTCGTTGGTGAAGATTCCTACAGGTACATTCTTTGAATTTCATTCCTGCTGGCATGATGAATTCCCACGAAAGTAGGATGAAACTGGATCAACCAGTGTGTTTTTCCTTCCGGACGGCACAGAGACCAGTGTGACAGTAAAACCCGAATGTAAGCAAGCAGGGGGGCTAAAGGTTGCTGAGTTCTGCTGATAGCACAGGCCCTTCAACAACCTCACAGGTGTGTGCTTCAAAGTTTAAACTGGTCTTAAAGGTATGTTTGTTCCTTTAAGAACAACTGGAATTAACTTGGAATAAACACATTTTCAAAATGATGAATTGCTCAAACAGCATCTTCATTTATATTGAAGTTTATTAAAACTCAAGTCTGACGATCGCTCAACCATCTTAATGGTACATTTTTGGCCCTCCGACCCTAGTGGAAGCCGAGTAACTCAGTTTATTTGTAATCATTCTGTCTCACTCTGATTACATCACAATGGCAGCAGACTAGACTGGTTACATTTAACTATAATTCTGCTATTTACACTATTGTTGGTCATATCTTTTTATTCAACCTGAATAGTTGAAGTTCATTTTGTGCTAATGTTGAACCCTTCAAGCACAATGCCCCATAATTGTTGTAGACCACTATCTCTTCAGCAGTATTAGTACATTTATAAAATATGTGCCCCAATGAATTCGTATATTCTGCCTCCTTGTGGACGGTTTAAGTACTGCGGGGCACACGTGTGAATCATGTTTGTATTAGTGTTGTAATACTGTACCTAATAAAATGTTTCAGTAATTGTATATGATTGTTTTATTGACATTAACCTATAAAAATATCAATCTTTTGAAATAAAAATCCTCAAGTTTTTTCATGTATCAGACTTGAAAGGGTTTTTACTTTATTTTATATTATTTAACCGGATGAGTTGATTGAGAACTCATTCTCATTTACAACAACGATCTGGCCAAGAGGCAGCAGCAACACACACATAGTTAGCTTTACACCAAAGAAAAACAGGTAAGATTAAAGCAAACAAGATCAAAACCAGATAAAACAGTTAGACATAAAGACAACAGACTGTTCTCATATGTCATATGTACAAGCAATCAACACATTCTTTAAGTACTCAGAAGCACATTCATCAGAAACTATTGATTGTAGTGAATTATTGAAGGTAGATAATGGAAGGTAGCGAGCTTCAGTGACTTTTGCAGCTCATTCCAGTCGTGGGAAGCAGCGAACTGGAATGAGGAGCAGCCAAAGGAGTTTTAGGATTAACCATAGAGATTAAAATTGCACTGGTTGTTGGAAGGGTAATGAGTGAAGATATGGTGGGGTTCTTTACACTACAGCGCATCATTCATCCATTCACACTGTGATGGTAATGAGCTCCAGTGTCACCTTAGGGCTCACTAAAAGAGAGGGGATGGATCCTGTTCCAGAGTGATCTAGCAAAAAATCTAGTTAGGCGGAAATGGGCGTGGCCAATACAAAAAAGATGCTGAATCATCCAAGGATCATGTACATATAAAGTTTTTGACTGTACGACCTACGGTCTGGGAGCTAGTGAAGTGATGCACCCATCATGCCTAGTACCTACTCTACAAGCCTGTGGGGGCAGTGTTATGATCTGGGCTTGCTGCAGTTGGTCAGGTCTAGGTGCAGCAACAGGATGTGCTCCAAGAATGAGGTCAGCTGACTACGGATTCCTTGGGTCAAGCCGATCGATTTTGTGTGGGTGTGTAATTCCATTTAGCCAGAAGATGATTGACCTCTCTCAACCAATCAGGGAGCTGGGAGGGAGCTGGGCACTTTCCCACTTTCTGACGGTCAATCAAATTTAACTTGTCTCTAGTTTTATTAGATAGTTCAAAAAGATCAAAAACAGAAGTCTGTTATTGGCTCAATAACAGACTTCAAACAATAAACCGATTAATAACTATAAAGAGAAACAGGATCACTATGGTGTGAATGCTTTTCAGCATTAAAACAATTAGAGGAAAAGAGTTTAATTTAACTCATAATGTAAACAAGCACAGTGTTTTAAACATTGTGCCTCATAAAGTGGAATTAATAAAATCATTTAATTTAGTTAAAATAAGATCAAATTATTGATGTGTTTACTTATGAAGATAAAGAAAGATTGTTTAATTCCCAAAGACGAGTGAAACACTAATATTTGATGTTTTTATGTTTATAATGATGTAAAAAAGTGAAACCCAAAGTTCCTGAACATGTTTATTAATAACATTTCCCTGACTCCTTCCCAGCAGCTGAGCCCAAACAAGCTTTGAAGTGGAGCTCATTCCCAGCCTGGTTACAGCTCCACAGTTTGTTCAGGAATGTGTCTGAAAGGGAGAAGGAGGCCTCACCTGCTGGTTGGGAGTCTGCAGGAGGTGGGTCGGGTGGGCGGGGCTTGCTCCATTTTACCAGTCTGTCCTGAAAGGTTCTAACAGACTCACCTGTCGCTCGCAGGCGCACCTGCTGACAGATTGACCTCGGATTTACCTGAAATGAAGCGCTGATTGTCCGGAAGGTTGATTAACCGATCAAAATGAAGAGGGGAACTCTGAACTTCCTGGGTCGGAAGAACCACTCCCTGTTCGACACCAGCGTTAAAATGCAGGACATGGGTGAGTCCAGATGGGACAAAAAGGAGTTTAGATTATCCAAAGTGACCAAAAGTTACCGGCTGCTAATGACAGATCTCTGTATTTGATTTGAATTTACTTGAATGTATGAAACAGAACTACACTGTGCTAAATCACATTAACCTGAGATTGCTCACTTCTCATTTACACCCTAGACTATTTTAATTAACATTTCTGAAAATTGTCTCCTTCAAAATAAAATACCCCCGGACTTCTCACCTGTAATAACAAGTGTAATAACAGGTGAGAAGTCGTTTATGTGACACAGAAACGCTCAGATAGATCAAATCAACTGATTAATGTTTAAAATATGCAAAAGTAATTACATAAAGGTTTGAATTCATACAGATTAGATTATTTTAAACATGTGTTATTACCAGGACATGACATGTAATTCAGATACTAATACATAATGAACCTCTAAATACCTTTTGTTATGAGTGAATGTATTTCTGTAGGTTTTTATTGGTTAAATCCTGTCGTAGTTTTTAAACAACAGCTAAAGGAATGCAGTGTGTGGTCACTTCAGGCCCTTTGGCAAAGGCACCTTGTGTTTTAATTGTCCTCCTGTTTACCTCTTATTCCAGGACACAGAAGTCTTTGACAGAATTTGCATGTGGATTTCTTCTTCAACCACATCTTTCAACAACGTTTATTTTCTAACCTTGAGGTTATTTGTTTAGGTTTTCATTTTCAATGTTAAAAACCATAGAGCAGAACAGTTTGCATTTGCAGCTTTTTGATGGAGGTTTATGAAAATGTTGCTGCACAAGTCATCACTGAAAGTCCTTCTAGTCAAATTTTCATTTCCTACCTTGAAATCAGACCCGGGTTAGACCACAACCTATCCCATCAGCTGCATTTTATAACTCGCAGAACAAAATACTTAGTTTAATCCCATCTTACCTTTTGGGGGATCAGGATGGTGGCTGTAAGCTGATTGGAAACGGTTGTAGAGTTCAGAAATCAGGTGGGTTTTATGATTGTTAATGAGACTATCGGGGTTTTTGCTTTTAAACGTTCACTTTTCTAGATGCTTGGTGAACAAAACATTTGAAAATAGCTTTCTACACTAGAACAACTAAGTCAAATGCTATTACCCTAACCCTAAACCATTATTGTCAGATATTGAACCAGCGTTCAGAGTAAAAGGAAGTGCTAAGTCAAATCTGAGGTGAACTCCTCTAAGAGCAGGAAAGCCTTCGCTATGCAAATGTGAGAGAGAACATTTGTCTATTTAAATCAGAACGAGGCACTAAAAGGAAACCAGTCGTTTGGTTAGACTGGTTTAACGCCGCCATGTTTTCATTCCAGAGTCGTGTCGACATTCCTGAGTGACATAATTAAATCTCTATTTGGAAAAATCATAAAAATGTCTCGATGGAAACTGTGGGGAATGTAGGAAGACACTTTGGTCTCTATGTTTGTCATGTCTTCAGTCAGTCTTGGTTTGCAGATCAGTACCAAAAACCAGCAGACAGTGACAGGAATCTGTTTGGGACAAACAGCCCGGCAGACGCCGGAACAAATCAGAGAACCACTTAGATTTCCTTCAGTCGGAGTCATGTCCCATCAGCTGTATGATGGTTTTCAGCATCATAAGGGGGGCAGAGATTTGTTTAGTTTGCAGGTTTGTGCCTTATTCTCTTTTAAAGTGATCGTTACATAAGGCCTGAGCTCAAATGCTCTGGTTCTGCTGTAAAAACAAGATACTTAAAGGAAAAACACTCTTTAACAGCTTATTTGGAACCCGTTTGTCGATCTTCACCTAAGAATGGGATCAGGAGCTGTAGTAGCTTTCCGTAAGCTAGTACAGCAACATGACTGAACTTTCACTAAATCCCAGTGGTTAGATGTTATAACATGCAGACTTGCTGGTTCAGCCGTACGTTGCTATTTTGTTGTCAACAAAAAAATGAGGAAAAGACGCTAAAAGGTCAATTCAGCGCACACAGTCCTTCCGAACAGCAGAAATTCAGATTTATGAGGACAAATCATCCAAGATGAGACGAAGCTGTCCCGTTTTAAAGCTCTGCAGACTCGCTGAAGGAATGTTTACGTTTATTTTATTCTTTGTTCAATTCTTCTTTTCTCATCCATTTTTAGTTCATTGTCTGAATATTTCCAAAGGAATGTGTTTTGTGTTTGTTAAGCCACTTAACTCTGACCCGTGAATCATTCAGACACGAAAAGGACTGGTCACAAAAATACATTTTTTACTCAGTTTAAAAGTAAATAAATTACCAGATAAAAAGCGGCCTGACACCAATGAGGTTAGGCTAAAACTGTCTCTCAGGTCTTGTTTCCAGTCTTTTTTTTTTTTCCTGTTTTTTAAAGATGCGACGTTCAGATTCTGCTCTGTGCTGTAGATGCGTGTAGATAACAGACAAAATGAAGCTGCTGATGCCAGAAAAACACCACAAGAGCAGCAAATGCTAAAGTAGTTTAACATTCTGAGTTTTAAATGGGATCTAGTTGTGTGACCGGTGTGCTTAATAGAAATGTCTTCGTGTGTCCCATCAGACAATGTGGAGTTGGTGTTGGATTCAGCTAAAATCTCTGAATCTGGGACAGCCAACGTACGGGCCAGACCCACGGTCAAGCACACTCACGCTGTGAGTACAACTTTATTCTGCATCTTCGCAAGCTTTGTTTTTTTACCTGCTTTTGATTATTTATTTATTTTTGTTATCCTGAGTCTTGTGGTGGTTGGTGATGGTCTTGTCACATGTAAAGGGAAGGTCGATTAGAGCAGGGGTGTCCAAACATTTAAAGACAACACTGAAGGTTTAAAAGTCCTCATACACCACCCAAAATGTGTTTTATTTTCTGTTTAATAAAAAAATATTGGGGATTTTTTTCATACTTCTCAAAAATAAGTCAAAAGTTTGCATAGTAGTAAAAATCTGATCATAGGAATGGAGTGACAAAATTCCACTATTTTATAAATTCATTTGGGGGCCACACAAAATCACTCGGAGGGCTTCAAATGGCCCCTGGGCCACATTTTGAACATACCTGGATTAGAGTCTGGTCTGAGGAGGAAAACACACTGTAGGTGAAATAAGGTCAAGCGCCAAAAATCCACCTTCAACCAGAAATTAGAGCAATTCCCCAAGTTACTCTCCTCATCCGTACACAGCTAAAAGTCCCGACCAGACACATGAAAAATGGCTATTATTTGAAATCATGATTAAACACATTTTTGCACAGAAAACAATTCTAGCTTGTTTCATTCAGTCCATCAATTTCTGTGGCATTTTACAACAAACTGCTCACAAAAAGACCAAAGTGCTGTAAACGGCTAAAACCAGAATAAATCACATTAAAATATTAAAATCAAACAGTTTATCAACCCAAAAAATAAAACAGTAAGAGAACAAATAAAGCTAAATGTGTGTTAAAAGCGATATAAAAACAATGTGAGAACAGAGGCCAGTGCCCATCGGTGCCCAGTGTCGGGGTTCGTTCAACGGTCGTTGGGGCGGAGTCACCGGAACCGAGACTGGAGTTTGAAAAAACCTTCCTTTGTGTATGTTTATGTATTTGAATTGATATGTAAGGCAACACAATGTATCCAAAATGTATCACTTCCATTATTAAAACCAGTTTTGCAGTAAAGTGTGACGCCTAACACTAATAAATGCACTAATCTGATTTAGATGAAAGGGAAGTGTTTAGCTGTGTTTTGTATCTGTAGGTTAAGATGTCAACATGTCCAGTTTAGGAAAGGTTCGCACTAACATACGTGTGCAGCAGCAGTCTGTGTGACAGACAGGCCTCCTATTATCACTTCACGAGCAGCTCATCTGCGCTGTAGTTCACACACCTCACATCTTTTTGTTAGGGAGTGTCTTGTGGCGCACCCTGCGGCCCGTGGGCAGGACGCCTCCGAGTGCTGCGACAGCTGCGAATGAGTCACGGTGCAGGGAACGAGGAGATGAAATGAGACTGGATCACACGCCGTCTCTGGTGTCACACCCTCAGACTTATAACCTTCACAGCACAGCTACGCTAGTGGGATAATCCGCAAGGACGGTGTGATACTGAAATAGAATAGCAGAAACTGTGATCTATACATTTAACGTTTTCTTGTGATGCAGATTTTCCATTGCAAGCAGTTTAAAGGGCATAAAGCAACTGCTGAGTGCGTTTTGCTTCAGGACCAAAAACATAAAACACGACTCGTGATGATGGAAAGATTTACACCCCTGAATCCTCTGGTCTCTATTGTGTCAACAGAGTCTGTTTATTTTAGGTTGCTACTGGTTCTGTGAACCAATGTCACATCCCTAACACACACACACACACACACACACACACACACACACACACACACACACACACACACACACACACACACACACCCTCACACACACACACACACACACACACACACACACACACACACACACACACACACACACACACACACACACACACACACACACCTTTACGAACACCCAGGCATCTGACAGCCAGGCCCATTTTGATGAATAATAGGTGTATCCTCTGATTCATCGAAGGTTCCTCATACTTAAAGAATGTGAAAGTCTTGCGCTCCGCCTATAAGTATATTATGACAAGCCTAACAGCAAAGGCCGTTCATATTTGAACTCAAAAGCATCTGTGGTGCATTTGCTTAAAGTCAGTTTTACCGATTCAACCTTTGTCAAGAGGAAAATAAGGTGTGTGTGTTCATGAGTGTGTGAACTGCCAAATTGGATGTTTCTCATAAAAATCACTTGGCAGAAACATTTTATGTTGACACCAATAATGAATTCCCTATTCAAGAAAGCCTAGGTCATGCAATCGCTCAGAACTGGTTTGTTCACCTTAAGAGTGCAGGCTCCGGCAGAACAGAACGTACCGTTTCTGATCTCATCTTTGCTTCTTTTTACTGATTTTTGCATTTTGCTTTCTTTCTTTCAGTCTGTGGTAGAAAGTTTCCAAGGGTTTGCCGTCCCAACCCCTAAAGTACCCCTCCTCCCTCCAACCAATGGTCCAAAAGTCAACGGCACAGGTGAGGATCTCACCAAACCACACCATGTGCTTAAGGTTTACGTAAACGGAGATAGACTTAGCAGATTTGGACTCGGTTAGAGCAAAGTATGTTCCGGTGCTCTGGCCAAGACTCAGGTGATGGATCACCGGAAAAAGAATAAAGGAAAAAACCAGAGCAGGTAAATGTTTACCCATACTGTTGCACAATGGATGACAGCATAAATGGGAGTGTTTTTGTTTTAGCTATTCTAAATATTTTAAATGGAGTTGGCTTTCAGGTTGTATACATTTGAATTTATTTCAGATCTTATTTTTGAATACCTAGTATTGTCTGACCTGCACTGCAATAAAAGAGGATTGGGTCTTTCTGACTGAACATTTTTTGTTCAAATGTCATTATTCATCTCCATGTTGCACATTTCTCACTTTTCTTCGTTTCTTATCCTCCACAGCTGCTGGAGATAAATTATCCAATGGATCTGTTATGTCTGACCACGTGGATGATGAAATATTTGTTCCTCCTCCTCCTTCAATGTCACCTCCACCCCCTCCTTTGAATTTTATTCCTCCACCAGGCTTCATGGGAGACATGAACAGCCTGGACTTGGCAGCCCTTCAGCCTCCTTCTATGCCTGCACCAAAACTGCCACCATCCATGAAAGAGGAGGATCTGTCCAACCTAAAACCTCCAGCAATGGCGCCCCCGAAACCACCATCTACCTCCTCCTCTGGCTCTGCCTCATCAGTGCCCACTTACATTCCACCACCACCCAATGTTCCTGAGCCTCCAACTTTTTCCCCGCCAAAGCCTCCTCTTGAGAAACAACTCAGAACTCAGAAGATACCACCAGCAAAGCCTACCAGATTGTCATCCATTTCCCTCACTGACTCCCCACCACATAGTCCTGCACCACCTCCCCCAGTGGACACACCTTCATTGTCCACCTTCAATCCAAAAAACAAAGCAAAGGTTTATGACAGTCCAAAGGCCACATTTCTGGGTAAACAAGAGGATCACATGACCAGACCAAAGCAAATGCTCCTCCTTGAAGACTCTAAGTCAGGTAACTCAGTTCCTGTGCTCGTAGATGGAAATGTTGCCCAACTGTCTAAAACAGATCCCAAAGAAGTACAAAAACCAAAGGAGGACATAAAAGATGCCATCATCGCCCAGACGCCTCAAAAACCCAAAGCTGACCCAAAGACAGAGCCAAAGGCGGAGCCAAAGACAGAGCCAAAGGCGGAGCCAAAGACAGAAACGGTTTCAATACAGCCAGAAACAATCAAACCACTTGAGCCTCCGCAGCAACAGAAGGTGAACAATGTTCAGACTAATTCAGAGGCCAGTAAGAACAAACTGGATTCATCTCCGGGTCAAAGCCGGAGCTTCAGCCCAATGTTGGATCGCAAACTACGCAACCTGAAGGCTAATGACACCACCGGAGCCCGGGATGCCCATGCAGCATCACCACTGGCTCTCCTACAAGCAGCTAAAGAAAGAGATAAACAACGAGCGAATATCTCGTTGTCGCGGGAAAGCAGCACCCGGATCAGCGACGATTCCAGCTCAGGCATTCACCCGAGTGACTCCAGTCCAAATTCTTTCATCGTTGTCCCAAAATCCAGCTCAGCTTCTTCAACACCATTACAAGAAAGGTTACAAGAGATCCCACAGCCTGTTGGACCTGTAGAACCCAAGGTAGATATTCAGGCTCCAGAAACATCCAGCAACCCCAAAATTCAGTGGGTCTCAGATAAGAAACCATCAAATGGTCCCACACTTTCATCAGCAACTGTAAACAAGGTGGCTCAGGAAAAACAAACAGCAAAAGAACAACCTTCAAAGCCCCAAGCTGTGTGGCAGAAGGACCACAAAGAGGATCTGAACATGCCTGTGCTCCCACCACCACCAGAGTTTGGTGACTTCTTTGAGATAATGGAGCCACCCCCATCCATCTGTCCACCCAGTCCCCCTGCTAAAAAGACCCCGATGCCAGCTGTAGGTCCACCTCCTCCAGCTCCACATCCCCATACACCTCCCAAACTCCCACCCCCGGACACAGACATCAAACTAAAGCCACAAGTCAAGACGAAAACCAAGTCAACCCCCAACCAGCTACCCCCGACTCTCTCAGCCAATCAGGCCACTCTCCTTAGCATCTTACAAAAGAAGATGATTGAAATGGACCAAAAAATGGCCCCAGTGAATGAAACGGAGTCCAGTCCTGATGACTGGGGTACCACAGCGTCTGAAGACAGCAACAAGGTCCCTGTTGTACGGAAAGCCAAAACACAGCCGCAGCCTCCCCCTACAAACAACAAACCGGCCAGCATGGACATGAAGGAGTTGGAAAGTAAACTGGTCAAAAAGTATCAGGAGAGCCCCAAAGTAAAATCTCCCACCAGGTTAGAGTCATCACTCAGTTATCTTCTGAATAAATGTTATCTTGGTTAATTTCATTCTTGTTCTTCTACTTCACAGTGACGGAGCCAAATCCAGACAACAGTACGGCATGACTTTCACCGTCCGGCCTGGAACTAAGCAGCCCATCACCCTTGTTAACAAAGAAGAGTCTTAAAGATCTGCACGTCTATGATGGAGTCAGTCGTATTTGTACGTTCAACCAACAGGACTTTGAATTTTGCAGATGTCATTTTCTTAAGAATGCTTGAGGCCTGGCTCAAACGGTAACGGTTTAAAATGGTCAGATTTACAAAAGATGAGCGACCATACACATGGCAATAGAAAAATCATGGATATAACCGTTTCTGCCCTACAAGGTGTGGTGATATACGGCCACACAGTAAAGTCAACACACCACACAAACATTTCCAGGTCAAGAGTGGATATCTTGCAAAACCTCTTGAGACTAAAAATGGCTTTAGAGTAAACAAACATGACAGCAGTGGAGGAGGACTCCTCTTGCTTTGTGCAGCCTCATTCCGTGACCTTGTTTTCTGATTGGCTATATGTCACATTCAACAGGCTGCATGTTCGTTTGTCCTCAGGGCACACAGCCACTGCAATACTGGGCCAAGACAATCCAACAGGTTTAATATCCTCTATGTACAATCGGAGCTGTCCTAATATGCTTCTGAGCAGACCACAGCACTCTTAATACACCACACATTACAGGAATATCCCATAAGATCATCTTTAGAGTAGCGATGTTTGACATTATCGGTCTACAATTAATGTTTAATATCAGAAAATATCTATTGGTTTTCAGTCTTTTACCGACACAATTTTTATGTATCATACACATACTTTACAAACTCTTCAGCTAGTTCACCTCTCTCTCAAAATATGACGGATTTGACGTAAAGTTTTTGAGAAATGTTAGTTTATTTTGAACAACTTGTGAAGTAAAACTTTGTCCTGTGTGGCGAGCGTACACGCAGCATGTAGCTATGTGTAGCTAGACAGCTAGCAAACGACTAAAGCAAACACAAGAATCATCACCCAAGGCTTGCTTTTCTTATCTGACGATCTTAATAAACGTTTTATCACCATAGCGGCAACATACAGAAAAATAAAAATAAACACATTACCGACTATTACACACATCATGCTTAGAGGAAATAAGATTCAGTTGCTGTTGGAGACAAATTAAACGTGGCACTTTTCCTTTTACTAACTTAAATTGAAGTAGTTGTCATTTTGCATAGAACATGTTTAAAGTTGAAGCGTGTAAGATAGGAAATATGTGATGTTAATCACCTAAAATGTTTTAGTTTTTCTTTTTATGAGGAGGACACAGCATATGTTGGTATCGGTTTATCGAAAATTAGGAGTCAGACAATACTGAGCATCCCTACTTTAGAGACATCACAGTTTTTGGGTGACCATGATTGTCAGAAGGGGAGAATCTGGTCAAAAATCGGCATAATCTCGCCGTGTGACCCAGGCCTTAGTTAATAAATTTAGTTGGTTGTTGTCAGGAACATTCATTTAGCCTTTTTAAAAACAACAAGTGTGAGAAATGCATAAAGAATATTTGTCATTTTAACAGCTTTGTATCGTTCTGAATGCTACTTGTGAATTATATCATGCTCTGTACTTTTTCAAGGGGTTTTCTCCTTGATTGCAAGTACAAAATGTAGAATATAGTTTTTGGTGTATAAACCTGTTAATACTAAGATGTTCTGTTACATGTATATTATATACACCTGCTGAAGCAAAGCCAGCCATTAGTTTAGGTGAGCGCTAGCGTGGTTCTCATATTTATTAGTCTAAGACACGTTTGACCTTCTATGCAGTCCTCCCTTCCTCTGTGTGTATATACATTTGTATAAGAAAAATGGAAATGCAGTTTTGTGCACACCGTCTTGAAACTCCAGTGATTATATTCCTGTAAAATATATGCTTCATGCACATTTTTGTCTATTTTTCAGTTTTCAACAGTTATTTTACATTTTCATCACTAAAACTGGTCTACATCTATGACAGCATTATCGCACTGTGCACTTGTGGTGCAAACATTATTGTTTACATTTGAATCAGTGGATTTAGTAAAGAAAGATAAAAAAAAACATCCGTTCTCAAACTAGTGGCAGAAGTTACTAAAACAAAGTTAATCACGCCGCTAAAAAGCTTAAGATGACAGATCTGCTCTTTTCAGGTTCGCTGACCTTTAACCCGGCTAGAGATGATGACCAGCAGTGAGGGAGGAGCTTATATAAGAGTTTGTTTAAATGAGGGCTGATCAAAGTCAAATGTGTCATTAACCACATAAATGTTTATAAAAGTTGTCACACAGTAACATACCAAATGTTAAATAAGCAGTGTCAGAGTATAACTCTGTCAGAGTCAGTTCAAAGTAATTGAGCATAAAATAATAAGAATCCCTTTGTTCTGCAGTGTTGGTGGTAATTTTCAAAGTTAAAACAGATTTTTTAAAGGTGACTCTTAATAGTGTAACCTGTCAGGTGTTAAAGAAAAAGTACTCTTTTGGAGTTACTATTACTCTGTACTCCAGTGTTGATGACAATTCCTCCAAAAACAGTGTAAAAAGTTCTCTGGTGAGCTCCACCCTTCTTCTTTCTCTGCTTCTTCAGTTGCAGAGGGAAAGGTGCATTGTGGGTAGTCGTGTTTTTAGTTAGTTTGTCATATTTGGGGGTGTTTATGCATGTTTATTTTGGGAGAGTTGTGTTGTTCTAAGGTATTACTTCATTCACGGCTGCAAATGTGGTGTCACTTGTTGTGTCATGTTGGACTGTAGGTGAAGTCGATCAAAGGAATGGGATCGCTGTGCCATGCACTCTTAAAAAAGGGGTAATTCACGCTGAATGCTTTGCACTTGTCGCAGTCACTCTGAAGCACAAGCTTGCTAGTGTTCATCAGTGTGCTTGCTAGCTGTTAGCTTGCTGGCCTGACAGCTGCAATGGTATTAACACTGTCAAGAGTTGAAATATAATTATTTCATGGAATTGATTTGGACCACTTTAAAAACAGTAGTGTCAAACTAAAATGACACTTTTGTCTCATAGAGGCAAATTATTTTAACAATTGTGAGAATTAAAGGTTAACCCCATAACTGAACTTAACTAATGAGTGTAAAATAGACCGAGTATGCAACACTGAGATCAGTGTCACATGTACACTGGATATGTTCACTGGCTCAGTGTTGAGGTTACTCTTAAGTGTTGGATTAGTACTGGTGACCAGCAGGTCACCACACACCCCATCCATCAGGTAAAGCTATATTTAGATCTGAACGTGGGAACATTCCTGTGGAATTTGTATCAACTGCACGGCTGATGTGAGCGGGCAGCGCGCTTACTGCTGCGTCTGAGGAGCACTCGGTATTTTAATGCACCGTAAACATTGTGCAGCTACTCCAGTACATGCAGTTAATGCTCTGTTGAACAGGGTCAGATCTTTAGAAATGGGTTCTGGACATTTTATATCTTATGAGCTAATGATTCCTCAGAGCAGAGCAGAGGATGAGTGGATAGAATGTTTTTATTCTTAACTCGTTTGTCAGCTTCACACAGTATTTCAGATTTTCTTCCCCCAGCCAAAAGTATCCAAGGATTCTGCTGTTTTTCATTAAAATGGCAACGATCCACTTTGGTCTAGCTCAGATTAGCTGTAGTCACTGACGTAGACAGATATGAGGCTGCCACCTAACCGGTTCATTCAGGTTTTAGTACAAAGATACATGAGCTTAGTGTGGAGGAACCTGACGAGCTGTAAGAGCGCACAGACCTCAACCCACCAGAATCAGAATGGAGATTGCGAGCCTTCACGTCCAGCATCAGTACTGGATTTCTGAAGAACGGTCAGAATTTCTTTATCACCAACACAAATCTTCCCAGAGGAGATGGAGTGGTTATGGACCAACATCAGATTAAAACCCACAGATTAAAAATAGGATGTCATCAAAATTTATAAAAAGGCAAAAATCCCAAAACGTCAGGTGAGACAGGGATGATTTTTAATGTTTCAACAAAACTCCACTTTGAAAGACCTGAAGTATCCTTTCAGTTTGTGTGTGAAGCACCAAACACCTGCTGAGCAGCGGCACCTGCCTGTTACAGGTGGATCTTATAAAATGACATGTTGCCCAAGTAGCGAAACCTCCTGAAACGTTATCAGGACGTTGTTAAACGCCTCTCTGACTGGAGGGCTGGAATAAGATGCTGGACTCAACAAACCATAAAGAGACGCTGATTTTCTGAATTTCCTTTAATGTAAAATAACGTGCAAGCCTGTGTACTTTCATCTGATGTGTTGAACGAGTCAGATGTTTCAGTCCTTTCTTCCTGAATGAGAAGCTAATCTGGATATTCACGAACACCAGGTTGTGTCTAAGATGAGGAAGCAGCATCAACAGAGTGATGGAGCACCAGATGATCCCAGCCCACAGTAGTGAGAGCAGTGGAGCCAGCGGGACGCCAACAAACACCTCCGACAAAGTCCCGGTGCCGTCGGTCTCTCAGTCTGCAGAAAAAACACACGTTTGTAGCTTTTGTGCAGAAGACTGAGCCGCTTTAGCGTCACGCAGAAAAACTCACACTTCCTCCAGCTCAGGCTTCATGACAGCGAGCGAACAGTCATCGCTAACGGAGGCCAGCAGGGAGGCACTGAGACAAACAACATTAGGGAGTTTTAATAACGCAGATGAGTGATTAAGAACGAATCTCAGACTTGTGGTTGTTTACTTGTCTGTGGAAAAGGCCAGGCTGTTAACCCTACGGCTGTGGACCATCTTCTCCCGGGCCGGATCGGTTCCTAAGAAATCCTTCACAGTCACTTTTCCCAGCTCATCGCCTGAAACAGAACAAGTTTAGTAAAACATGGAGGACAGGTCACCACCAGCCACTGATCTGTTGTTAGGTCTCACCAAAGGCAACGGTGCTTCTGAGGTGGGGGTGCCACGCAGCAGTGGTAGCCGGACAACCAGACGACCCAACATCTGGAACACAATGATAAACTATCACGGTCCTTATAATATATATCAGAATCTGAGGTCATCCCTCAGAAGCTTGTCTCGGTTTACTTTATTGACCATTGATCAGAGCATACACGAGCCTCCTTGAGACGATAAGGAAGTAACCCTGGAGATGAGAGTGTTACAGAAAGCTCCTCACCTATCTTCGTGGCAGGTTTGTTTGGCTTCCTCCTGTCCCACATCAACACACGGCCATCCTGAAGGGTTAGAGATTATGATGGAAACAGGATGAGCTTAGGGTCAAAGTCTAGTTTTACACTTTTATCCATTTAGTAAAGACCTGCTGGACTCCATCTGTTAGAAACAAATGGAACATTATAACATAAACGTTCCAACATCCTCTCTTTAATCTCAGTAAATTATCTAGTTTTAAGCATTTTTAATTGATTTATTTGTGGATTTTTTTTTATGCACGTTAGATCTTTGAGCTATAAGCACGGTCTAGTCAGATACAATGACAACCCTTCCTTCAGCTTGGCAACTAACAAGATTCAAACAATTTAAATGTTCTCAATCGATCTTCAAAAAGAAGAGGGGGGGGGGGGGGGGTTGACTATTAAAATAGCACCCACCCACATTTTCAAAGTTAAACACATTTCTTTTAACAACGGTAGTTTCTGCTTCAGCCCTCTCCCCCCTCCCCCAGCGCAGCGGCCGCAAACTCACTGATGCGCCTGCAGCCTCTCAAGAGTTCCTGCTGCTCTAAACATTAAAATAATTATTTCATTTCCTGTTCCTCACTTCTGATTACCTTCAATGGTGTCGGTTTGTTGCAATCACCAGGTACAAAAACTAACTTGTTTTTATTTGACTATTTTTCTGTCCTGCCTGTTTATTATCTTCCTGCATCTCCTCTCAATCCTAAAGAAAAACTGCTACCTGGGTTCATATTCACCTTATGAGTTACCTCTGAACTGCAGTGCTAAAAGATCTACCGACCGTAAATATAGCGGAGGGTGCGCCGCGCGCCCACCGCACCGGTGCGGTGAAGCCACTGGAGAACAAAACATGTGATGCGCTCTGCAGCAGCGAAACTCATCAGACACAAATAAAAGACAGAAAGCATTAAAGGACATGAGCCGACATGAACGATCGCGTGTTAAATTTGTTTTTGAGGTGACGACACTTTGGGAAGGTTACTGTGGTCGTGCTCAGGATGCATCTGTCTGGAGCGCGTCAACGATCAGAGCTCAGCGCCTCTCAGCTCTAAATAATCCTGGAGAGTCCACATAGATAAGGTAATATAAGTAGAACCAGGATTTTTTTCGGGCTCCCCCCGGGTGTCAGCTGAGGGTTTCCAGAGGAACGTCGTCCTTTGGGGATGAGCTGAGCTTAAGGGTGAGTCGGGATCCCTTAAGCTCACCCGTAATTCGAACCCTGCGTATAGAACAAGTTGGTCGCGTAAGTTGCCGGATCCTAGCAGACAGTTGCCGGAACGGTCCTTTCAAAATAAGACAGTTCCCGGATCTTGTTCCGGCTCAAATTAAGCCCTGCTTTTATCACATTGATGTGTTAAAACCAAATAATGAGAAGTTCATCAAAGACTATTTATCAAGAAAAGACCAAATAACTTTAACAGTTTAAATCAATGAAGCTTAAAATTATTATTTTATGACTAAAAAAACAAAAACAATCAGCATCATACTTGTCCACATGAGATGAAGAGAGATTCGTCTGTAGGACTGCAGGAAACACAGTTGACAGGCTGTGTGTGCACTGCAGGGCGACAAGGAAAAGTGTATTCACATGTACACACACATGTACACACAAAGTTCACAAGATATCTGCAAAATGCACAGTAGTGACTCAATTCCCAAATCTGAACGAAAACATGTAAAAACACAAAGTTTCCACAGTCTGTTGACAGATGTGTGTGTGTGTAGGGATGGGTACCTTTGACATTTGAATCGATCCGGTAATAATTCCTGGTACCTACGAATCGATACCGGTACTTAACGGTACCAATTTTCGATACTTTTGAGTGTTTATTATTTTAATTCTCTTTTATAATTAAATATATATTTTTTCTCAATATATAACAATATTTGATAAATATCACGATAAATAACATTCAACTGTTTGTATTTTAACATTGTCCTTGTAGTTTTATAAGCTGATAATTAAACTGAAGTAAACATCTTTACTGTGAACTAAATTTACTGTGTATCTTCATTCCTTTTGCCGTCTTTGTTCATTTGATTTTTCCTACTGGGAAGTTAGAATTTCTGAGGAGAAAGCGAACGCACCATTAGCTGATAACAACGGTGGCAATGGAAGCTAATTGATCAAGCTAACGTTATCTTTAACAGTTTATTTAGCTGCTGGAGCAGATTAAAACAATGATGCCTCACACTTAAGATCGTTGTCGCTGGTTTCATCTTCACCCAATCACCCGTCGCATTTAGTAAAGTGAAGCCAAACTTTAGAGCGCTTTCATGTTCTTCTAGTCGGGAATTTGGAGTTCCGAGGAGAAAGCGAACGCACCATTAGCGAAACGGAAGCCAACATATCAAGCTAACGTTATCTTAAACATTTACCTACCGGAGCAGATTAAGTTGAGGATGTCTCACTTAGATCGTTGTCTGTCGCTGGTTTCATCATCACCCAGTTACCCATCACATTTAGCGTGCGTTCTTTCTACCATGCTGCTCTGTTTACAGCTCGCTCGCAGCGACCGACGACATTACGCTGTTGCGCATGCGCAGCTGTCTTGGCAAGTTCTCGTTATGAAGGACGGGTACCGAAACGAGGCACCGTTTGAAATGACGTGAATCGGTGCTCGGTCGGTACTGTGGAATTCGGTCGGTACATTAAAAAGTACCGAATTCGGTACCCATCCCTATGTGTGTGTGTATCATTCTTGTAATAGACTTGAAACCTGACAGGAACAATATTAAGTTCGATATCAGAGAAAAGCTGCAGTTTACAAATGGGGAAAATCACCTCCCATTAAAGAAGTTCATCTTTTTGTTTCAATGCCATAAATAAAAAACACATTTCCATACCACTGTAGGTGGTGACAACGGTTTCCTGACCGAGATCCCAGACTTTAATTCTGTATTGAAGAATAAATATAAAGTTATTAAAATAATGTTAAAATATTATTAAAACAGAAGAACTGGAAAAAACGAATCAGCATTTAGAAATAAACAAACACAAAAGCTATTTATTAAAAATTAGATCCACTTTAAACTCTTAAAATCTCACTAAAAGTTTCTCTGAACTATCATGATTTTTATGAATTACTGCACCAAAATAAGAAGGCCCACTAAAGTGTGTAATGATCACAAATCTGTATCGAACACCACAGCCCTTTGATGACCTACGATCGTTTCTCTCTGCAGAAGTTTTTGGTTTCATTTAACTGTGTTCTCATTTATAAGTGTGTAAGAGTCTAACCTGCAGTCCATACTGCCAGTGACAGCACTGCTCGCTCCAGTAACAGGGCTCACAGTGGTGACTACATGGTCGTGTTCATATTTTGTGAAGCGGTTCACCAGCAGGTGCTCGTCCTCTGCCAGTTCCCAAAACTCCAAAGCACCTGTAAAACCACAACAATCCCGTTTTAACCTCAGGTGATACAGCCGCTCGGCTTCCATCAAACTACGCCTCACCTAAATCTGATGCAACAAGAACTCCTTTCTCATTCGCCCATTTAACATCTGTGACCCCAGCCTCGGTCTGCACCCCAGCTTTGCAGAATCCCTCGCTGGGAGCCTGCTCGGGATCGCTGAAGATCCACACAGATCCCTGCCAGTTCCTGCCAGAGAGGCTGGAGGCCCCAAGCAGCAGGGTGCCGTCTGTAAGGAGGCAATGAGAAGAACCGATCATATAAACTAAACCATGCTCGTCTTTATTTAGTTTCAACCTTATTGTCTAAATCTGGAAAGAAAGAAAAAAAGACGTAACGCCACTGAAACATTAACTAGAAGCCACTTCTGGGCGGCATAAGTCTAAATAAGCTGTCAATTTTCACTCTGCACAACAGCCAAACTTCTAGTCTCGTGCTTTCTGATGTTCTTCAAATGTTCCAGATGTTTGTTCGTGTGAAAGCTACAACGAGGTGCACGTGGAGGTGTGCAGATGTAAGCTGGCTGAATAAAACAGTAGTGAAACCACGTGTTCGACCTCCTCCTTCTTACCTGCTCGGTACTGAACAGCACACAGGTGTTTCTCCATACAGGCAGGAGCGTTGGGGGGAATGTTCCACCGGTTTTCCTTTTTCATGCTGTTGTTGACTGAACTTTTCATCCAAACCGCGGGTCGAACCTTCCCTTAATGCAGCTCCTGGTTAGCTAGCTAGCAGCACCGACGTAAACACACGAGTGTTTTGTCTTTAGCCTTTTTGGGAGATGTTATTAAAAACGGCGTCCCTAAACTATGATAATTGTTAAATTTCACAAAACAGTCAAATGTAATGCTTCGCAAATGAATGAAAATTAAGGCGAACAGCAGCACACAGAAACGTTAGATAAACTTCCTGCTCCAGTGTTACGTTGAAATATGTTACCCAATCAGAGCGCGCTATCTTCTTCTGCTATTTTTATCTAGTTTGTGGTGTGTTTCCGCCGTCTGCTGGACTGGAGCGTAAGTGAGCTGCTACGTTCTCTTTCAAAACGTTCAAAACATAAAAACAATTGTCCTATATTTACAAATCAAATCGGTTCCTTCTGAAAAAAAAAAGTTTATTTTCTGCACTTCGTGTAAAACACCGGTAGGTGGCCCTACTATTACTGCTTTAAGGAAGTTATTCAATACATCACTGCACACTGAGGTCTTTGCATCATTCAAATGAACTCCAAAATGACTTAAACTGGACCCCCCCCCCCCCCCACACACACACACACACACACACACACACAGAGAGAGAGAGAGAGAGAGAGAGAGAGAGAGAGAGAGAGAGAGAGAGAGAGAGAGAGAGAGAGAGAGAGAGAGAGAGAGAGATTAAATTAAATTAGAGTGGCAAATGAATCAGGCTTAAAAGTACAACATGCAGCAAAAGTGACTTGAATTAACTGAATGCATACTTTTGAATTTGAATCTGGACCAAATATGTAATATCTCGTTTTCATAGACTCAGCCAAGAAAATGCTGTTTTTGCCATGCAAATATACTATCTGTCTGGACATACAGACAGACAGACACCGTAGATAGATAGATAGATAGATAGATAGATAGATAGATAGATAGATAGATAGATAGATAGATAGATAGATAGATAGATAGATAGATAGATAGATAGATAGATAGATAGATAGATAGATAGATAGATAGATAGATAGATAGATAGATAGATAGATAGATAGATAGATAGATAGATAGATAGATAGATAGATAGATAGATAGATAGATAGATAGATAGATAGATAGATAGATGATAGGCCTATACTTTAGAAAAAGGTTTTTAACTAACAGGAAGTTTGTTGCAGTCACCATTTAAAAAACACCGCAAACTGGCCATATTTAAGTTACATATTTAACATAGACATATTGTCTAAACTTTAAGGAAATCACTAATGTTTGATTTGTTTATCTAAAAAGTCCCACAAATCTCATTCTTAAGTGAAACGAGGAAGAAACCTGCCCATGTGCTGTTGTAAAACTAAAGGCGCTTTTATTTTGAAAGCCAACAAACGGAAGTGGATGCGAGACTTCAGGTAACTTTTTAAATTCCGTCCCACTGCTGTCCAAAATCAATAGATGATTGGTTTTCTTGCTGGTTAGGATTGTCTTATATCGTGCCCGCTGAAGGTAAGCACGGAGCCATATCGAGTGTTTAAACTGAAATATTCCCCTCCAAGTGTCGTCGGTACCACCTAACGCTAGCGCTGTGACGTTTTTCTCGGTATTACCGCCTCCTTTTGTCCGAAATATTTGATATCAAAAGCCAGCATGGGCTGTCTGAAGCCAGGATTAGCCGTTGGGAGGTGTGTACCTGTCCACGCGGAGTGACACTCCGTGGACAGCTGCTGCTCCGTGTCAGCTCCCCGCTGATGTGGGCACTCTGGACCGCAGCCAGCTGCGACGTGACATTTGGGGGAGCCTCGCCGGTCTAACCGCTGGTGAAAATGGCATCTGAGGTGAAGGCAGGTGAAGACAGCTAGGGAGGGGGTCTCACGTGTGTTGGGGAAATAAAAATAGCTCACAAGTCGTTGCAACTACATGCAATAGTCATGATGCTGCTGCTGCTGCATGTGGAAATGTAAATGATGCGTCTTGTCTGAGACGAGTTCATATGAGGTTATGCATGAGGGAACGTCTCTTCCTCTTGGCCTAGATCCAAGTTCACATAGCATGTTGGAACATGTTTTACTCGGACATGCTGACCTGCTGCAGCAGCAAACACGTTTTTATATCTCATCAATAGAAGCTATTTTCTCTCCTGATCTCACAGCTGATTCAAATTCCCTCTGAATTCAAAATACAGTGGTTTCCAGTTGCCTCCCTAGGTTGCTGACAAAGCTGCATATTGTTTATTTTCCAGACTGTTTGCATTTTACAACCATTTGAAAAGGGACATGTTGTGCAAAACTCACCTTTTGCATCCCTTTGTGCTGCTATATTGGTCTCTACTGCCTCTATGAACACTCCAAACTTGGGGAAAAAAGAAAACACTAACTTTTTCTGTCAGTCTTGGTGTGTTCTTGCTGTGTTTAGTTTCAAATTCCATCTTTCAGTTATTTTTAAAACACAGAAAATGTTTGATCACCTGCAATTTCGTTTGCGGCTGCAAACATCATCAGGCTGACGCCGATGGTGGCGTCACTTCCTTCATTTACTCCTCTCATATGACGTCACATCCCTGTTCACAAAAACACCAACCCAAAAAACCCTAGACATAGTAGTGAACAGAATCAGACAGGACAAGACTTCACACAAAAGGACTAACCTCACAGCAGATGACCTAGCACAACTGATAGGACTGGTAGCTAACTCCACTTACTTCACATATGATAACACAATATACAAACAACTGGAAGGCTTCGCCATGGGTAACCCGTTATCAGCCACCCTGTGCGAGTTTTTCATGGAAGACTTAGAACAAAAAGCCGTAGCCACTGCCCCCCCCCCCCCCCCCCCCCAAACTGCAAAATAAAATTATGGAAACGCTACGTAGATGACATACTGGAAATCATACCAAAAGGACAAACAGAAACACTAACACAACACTTGAATAACATTGACGACACAGGCAGCATAAAGTTCACTTATGAGTCAGAAACAGATGGCAGTATAGCATTTATGGACATGAAAATAACCAGGCAGACCGACGGGACCCTAAACATAAACACATACAGGAAACCAACACACACAGAACAATATCTATTATGGACATCAGAACACCCCACCATACACAAAATGTCAGTAATCAGAACATTATATCACAGAGCAAACATTGTAACAGAAGAAAGAGATCGTAAACAAGAGGACAAACACATACAACACGCTTTAAAGACCTGCGGATACCCAACATGGGCAATAAACAAAGGAAAACAACAACAGAAAGGAAAGAACAACCAAAGCAAAGAACCAGAAACCCAGAAAGACAAGAACCACAACCAGTGATAACCCTACCATACATCAAAGGCATAACAGAAAACGTAAGAGCAACAATGAAAAAACACAACATAAACACACCAACAAAACCATACACAACAGTTAGAAACAGACTAGTACACCCAAAAGACAAAATACCAGCTGTACTTAAATGTGGAGTTGTTTACGAAATCCCATCCAAACTCTGCAATAAAACACACATAGGAGAAACCGGACGCCAACTCAACACACGAACAATAGAACATAGAAAGGAGTGCGAGAAAGAAACA